TACCTTCACAGAGCATCACCTGAGTGGTACCTTCACAGAGCATCACCTGAGTGGTACCTTCACAGAGCATCACCTGAGTGATACCTTCACAGAGCGTCATCCCAGGCAGTACCTTCACAGAGCAACCTTACATCAGTGTGGTAGTGTTAGATCCTGAAAAGTCTACTCACTGAGCAAAGCTGAGGTGCAATCAAAACAAATTATGATCCGGGTTTCCTTGAACTCTTTTCTTAGCTGTAGGACCTCTTTGCCAGTTGTGTTGTCTGAAGAGCATACAAAACAGGTCAAATCTACAATAGAAAGCTAGTAACCACACTCTTTGAACCTCTTTTTTTTTTATCCAGTAGTAGCCATGAGCCTTGGAAAGAGGCCATGGCATCCAACAGGCAAGACCCGAGACTGAGCATTGAGTGACTGGATCCTTCTGAGCCCCCACTTCTCACTCTGATAGATGCAGAGCCCTGCATTCCAGCTTTGGTGGGGGTCCTTATCCTTGTGGGGAGTCCTGGTGTCTGAAACCAGTTTCTGCTGGGCTGTATTGGATCTGAAGAACTCTTGCAAGCCACACTGCTCTGCAGTGTAGTCTGTGTGATGTAGCCTCAGGCTTGAGTCCCTTCCCCTCTGGGTCCCTGGTGTGGCTGGATATCTGCAGGACTGTGGAAGGGGGCATGGTGTGCACCCTGGATCTCTCACTTGAGTCTGTCCCCCCTGACTTTTTCTTTTTTGTTCACTAGATGATGATTCTGATCTGCACTCTCCTCGATATTCCTTTTCTGAAGACAGTAAGTGAAGCCTCTCTTGTGGGGAGGAAAGGAGGATGGTGGAAGAGACATCTTCAGGTTTAGTTTTCATTTGAGTCTAAAGTATTTTGTGTGTACTTTCTCTCCAGCAAAGTCTCCCCTTTCTGTGCCTCGCTCAAAAAGTGAGATGAACTACATTGACGGGGAGAAAGTCGTGAAGAGGTCGGCCACACTACCCCTCCCAACCCGCTCGTCTTCACTGAAGTCCAGCCCGGAGAGGTAAGTGGTCCCTTGGATGCTCATCCATGCCTCCCCAGTATCTGCATCCCAGGAGCTTTTGTTCGGAACAAGAAACCGAATCCCTGCGCTGTCACCTGTCAGTCCATACCCTGATCCGTGAAATAGGAATCAAAATAGCGTGACTTCTCCGTGAGAGTGTTGCAAGGATAAAACAAGCAATTGCACTTGGCCTTGCAATTAAGGCCTGGCTCATAGTGTGAGCATAATTGCTATTGACTATAATTATTATAGGCTTTTATCTAGTCAAGAAGAAACGTTTGCAGTCTTAGGCATTGAACCCAGCGCCTTCCTGAATGCTAGGCAAGTCCTCTGCCACAGAGCTGGGCAGCCCTCCTTTTTCACTGTTTATTTCGAGACAGCATCTCAGTAAGTTGTTCATGCTGTCCTTGAGCATGCCCTGTAGCCCAAGCAGGGCTTGAACTGCCAACCCTCCTACCTTAGTCTATAAGTAGTTGGGATTACAGGTGTCACCACCAGGCTCTATTTACTATAAAAAAATCTTAAATTGGAACTATCACTTACATATTCACAATAAAGACTGTAATACTAAACACAGCTATAGTCTGTAATGTCTACTCACTAATATAACATATATTATCGAGACAGATGTCCTATGGAGTAATCATCTCTTGTCAACTGGATAAGCGTCCCATGTGTCCTCTGACCTCAGTTTTTGCCAACTTCCACAAACTAAAAGTTCTGTGCAGATAAAACTTACATTTCTCCTTAAAGTCACATCTAGTTTCATGCCTCCCTAGCTCTACAGGCAAGTGAATGGCTGTTTTAAAAGCCCACCTGTGCCTGACACATCTACCTGATGAATCTGATAATGAATATAAAAGAAAGACTGGATATACTCAGAAATTCTTTCTAGGTATATTCATTAAGCACCTACTGGGTACGTTCTGTGCATATTGAATTAGACTTTGCAGAAGAATACACAAATCATTGTCCAGTCATTCGTGAAAAGCAAAATATAACCATTGTGCCAAGTGCAATAATGTTCCTGCATGAAAAGTTGGTAGACGATTTCCAAAGACTCACGTAGACTTTGCAACCCATCTCTGCATGTCAGACTGAAAACTGGAACCAGGGCTGACAAGAGGCTCAGCCGGTAAAGGTGCCTGGCACCAACGCTTGACCTGAGTTTGATCTCTGGTAACCACGTAACGATAGGAGGAAAGAGAACTGACTCCACAGAGCTGTCCTTCGACTTACACGTGTGCACCGTGGCATGGCGCATGAATGCACGCACACCACACCTACAGAGTCTTAGTTAGGGCTGCTGTTGCTTGGATGAAACACCATGACCAAAACGCTTGGGGGAGGAAAGGGTTTATTTCACTAGCAGTTCATCATCAAAAGCGGGACAGGAACTCATGCAGGGTAGGAGCCTGGAGGCAGGAGCTGATGCAGATGCCATGGAGAATGCTGCTTATTGGCTTGCTTCTCATGGCTTGCTCAGCCTACTTTCTTATAGAACCCAGAACCACCAGCCCAGGGATGGCACCACCACAAAGGGCTGGCCCTCCTCCATCAATTGTTAATTAAGAAAATGCCCTACAGCTGGATCTTAAGGAGGCATTTTCTAAACCGAGGTTCCCTCCCAACTCTGGCTTGTGTCTAGTTGACATAAAATTAGCCAACACCTAGACAGATTAAAACTAATAAAAAGAACCCCCAAACTTTGACGCATGCTGAAGTTAGTGTGTAGTAGGTTGAGACGCAGGATCGGTAAGAACTAGCACACGGCTGGTGTTTGCCTCGGGCGGCTGTAGACCTGGCACACAGTGGTCTTCCTTCCAGTTGGATAAACTAAAGCTTCAGGAGTTTGTAAAGTCTGTGATTATCTGGGTGACAAGGGTTTGAGCCACAGTCTAGCAGCTTGAGGACCTCCATTTATGCTTTGCATAAATTGTGTGGGAGTTCGAGTGTTTGGGGAATGTTAAAGTCGTCAGAGCAGAGCAAGGAGAAAGAGTTTTTCCAGGACAAGCCTTGCTTCATTTTCCTCTCTTCTTTCTCTCCCTTCCTCTCTCCACCTACTAGTGCCAGGTTTTAGGTACAGGGTATCTTCATGTCCCTTGTAAAGCCAAGATGGAGATTGAATTGGGTTGTTTGGAGAAGCAAACAGTACACCTAAATTGCTAGCCCTTGATTCCAGTTTTATGCCTTGGATATAAAAATTCTTTAAGACTACGATCAACCAGGCTCAGACTGTGTGGGAAGCTGGTGCCGCTTTCATGCAAATAGGATTTTTCTTTCTACAGAAACGACTGGGAGCCCCCAGATAAGAAAGTGGACACAAGAAAATACCGAGCAGAGCCCAAAAGCATTTACGAGTATCAGCCGGGCAAGTCTTCTGTTCTGACCAATGAGAAGATGGTAATGTGCATATGAAAGCCCTTTTGTTTCCCTCTGCCCATGTGGTCTAGATTGAAAGCATTGTGTAGTTGGAGCATATTCTTCCCCACTTGAGATAGGCTTGTTTTGTTTAGAACAATGAAGAAAATTGAAGTATTCTCACCCTCTGCATTTTTCAGGTCTTGATGAAAATGAGTCCCAAGTCTGCTTTTGAGCAACTGGTTTTTTGTTTTATTTTATTTTGTTCTGTTTTGTTTTTGTGGCTCTGTTGTTCCAATTATGCATGGTTTATGGTTTTAACTCATTTTAATTTTCTACTAACAAAGATTGATCTTCTGGTTTTTTTTTGTTTTGTTTTGTTTTGTTTTTTTAGCAAAAAAAAAGTATCACTTTTTCAGGCTTATTGATTAAAGATTTTTCTTTCTCGTAGGCACCTTTGGATAGAATTTACAGAAATGACCAGACTAGCACTAAAATCATTCCCAAGATAAATAAGCAATAGAATGTTGTAGCTTGAGGCAAAGCCCTGGGCTGCTAGAATTTACGTTTTAGGTCTTCTGTCTTTGATTGGCACATGGCTGAAAATTCACTTATGAAATTAGTTTGCCTTATTGTCCCTTAAACAAATTTACATCTCTAGAAAATTGAGTGGGAAAATGGTGTGGAAATTTCAGGTCAACGTGGAAATGTAGTCACTTCTGTGAAATAGGAAGGCTTTACAGATTGATTAGTTCCATATCTGCCAATCATGCTTCCTTTTATTCACCCTTCATTAGAAAAAGCTGGTTTAAATTTCGGTAAATGGTTAAAGAGATTCTCCAGAGCTGCGTCAGCGTTGTGGCCCTCTGGCTGGACAGCAGGATGGAGAGGTTACACTGAATGTTGATTTCATTAAGAGCTGTTAGCCCCACTGTTCTACATGTTTTTAAATTGATTTGACTTTTATTGAAATGAAAATGTGACGCCTTTATACGTGCTGGAGTAATTTTAATTAGGAAAAAGGTCATTAGTTCACAGAAATGCTTCTAGAGTTGTCATTCTTCAGTATTTGCTGGGCACCATGGGTATTTTAAGCAGAAAGTTAAGAGACAAGCCAAATGAATTCCTTCTGGGTCCTTGCTTCATTGGGGGTTCTCACCTGCAGGAAATAAATGCACATGGCAACCTTCAACCCAAGGGTTGCTTGGGAAAAAGTCATGCTCTTTAGTAATAAACCTGCTGGCTTCCGTTGTGCATTAATACAGAAGTCAAGTGACTTCAGGGATTCTGGAGGCCTTTGGGTGCTTTTATTTGGGCAGTGGCCATTTATAGATTGTCCTTGCTTTTACTGAAGGTACACCCTTTTTCTTAATTTTGTCTTTGTTTCCATTTCCATCCCTTGGACTTAGTAATTTTACCTCTATTCAGAACTAGGAAAACACATTATTTTGTTTTTCTCTTTGGTACCACAGTGCTTGGGCTCATTGGCATTATTTTTACAGATGCTGGGAAGTGCCCCACAGTGCTCCCATGGAGGACCCATGGGGGTGATGGAGACTGTCCACCAGGACAGCAGAACACCATCTGGTGTTCCAGTGCAGGCGCCCCTCTGTGATGTTCCAGGCCTGAGGCCCACATGGCAGTATGTGGGCACCTGCCCAACAGTTCGGTTCAGTGCCCTTTACCCCAGTTAGCTCTGTCCTTCCAAAGAGAAGTTGTTTTTAGAGAAGAATTTCAGTTGAATCTTAATTTTTTGACAGTGGTTGAATTGGTCCATTGTGCTTGATCTTTTTAATCCTGCTATTTTTATCACGTGAACAGAAAAACTGTTATGTGAATTTCTATGTGACTTTTAGTATGAATACTGGCTGACTAGGATTTGAACGGCACCCTCGTTCATATACTTTTTGAAGAGAACTAAAGAATCATTTTATTAACCATTAAATGTGTAAGCTGGTGACAGATGCAGAATCTAAGTTAGATTTTATTTTAGTTTGCTTTGTCTCTTCATGAAGACAGAAAGAAAAACCACTTTTTCTTCCATTTGAGTTGCTCATAGCTACTTAATTTTGCCAGTTCAAGGAAGAGGCCCAGGCACAGCCAACTGTCACCATCAGGAAGAATGTTAATGGGCTGTGGGAGCACCCCTTGCCTTGGAGCATGCTCACACTACCCCAGACCCATGAAACACTTTTACCTTCTGAGTCCCTGGGTGACTTTCAGCCTTGATGACCTGTTCACCTGTTTGAAATACTTTTTGCCTCACTACCAAAGTATAAGTCAACTTTTTCTCCGTGGCCTTGGGCTTAGAGCTATATTGGTTTGTCCCTGCTTCGGCAAGAATGTCTAGACTTTACTCCTTTATACTTTTTTCCCTGAGATCTCCTAAAGGACATGAGCTTCATTTAACCAAATATAGAAAGAAAGAACTTTTTCGTGCCTAGCTTTGGCATAGATTTTGGAGTTCCTGTTTTGTAGGTGTGTGGCAGCAAGGACAGTGGGATGGTAACGATAGGCACAGAATGAACATGGAAGTGTGAACAAGGGGGTTTGCCCAGTCCTGCTCCTTCTGACGCAACTGTCACTTAAGCTCTTTCCCTGGCATTTCAGGCTAGCTACTAGCCCTGCTTGAGTTTTGTGCCATGTGCACCCTCATGAAGGGGATGAGTGTAGTTTGCAGTGCTGGCTGGATCAGCCCTCGAAGATCTGAGGTCTGGGTTCCAGTCCTGACTTGGCTGTATGCCTTCAGGCAAGACAATTAACCTTCTTGAATCTCAAGGTTTTCATTTGTGAATAGAAATATGATCTGGCCCTTCAACCTGACGGCGTGCCAGGTGATGTGGCCAGCATGGGTGGTAGGGGTCTAAGAGCCCCCAAAACCGTAAAGCATGATGGAAGTGAGCACCCCATGTTCATATGATTTACTAATTGAAATCTGAAGCCGGCCTTTGGCTCCTATCCAAGCAACAACATTGTCTTTGAGGAGAGGACATTTTTCTGGCAAGCTACTTGCTCTTTCCATGGATTTTGTCAAGCTGGAAAAAGAGCAGATCACAGCAGGGAAGACCAGAGTCCGGCGTGGAAGTGCCGTGGGTATGGGAGTAGCTCCTCTGCTTCCAGAAGGATGTTCCCTGTTAGCCTACTCCTTGATTGGATGTACTGCTCATTTATCATTTATACCCGGCAAACGAATGCCACATGAGTGCTGTTGGCAGTCCTTGTTTACCTTTATATCTGGGCAGCTTGAAGAACTGAGGCTTTGGACCCAAGTTATTTAACATAGCCTGTTCTTACTCAGCATTAACCTTGGCGGTCAACTATTCTGCAGGCAGCATTCAAGAATAAAATTAGTTAATTCTTTCAGGGCTGTAAATATCATAACTACTCTTAGGCAGTTTCCCAAAAGGGTTGGTATGTTAGTACATTTTATAAAAAAAAAAACAAAAAAAACCCTCCTAACCTATTCCCAGGGAATGGTTTATAAATAATCTTTGTAAAAATAACAAATATGAAGTAGGTTTCATGAAAATCCATCATTCTAGGTTGTAGAATGTCCCCATGTTTAAGCCATCGTTCTCTAGTGGTTTGATCTTTGTGGGCACTGTGCTTCATTTCACCAAATAAAGGCAGACTGTGCCGGGGAGATGGCTCAGTTGGTAAAGTGCTGGAGACCCGAGTTCAGTTACCAGAAAAAGAGTTAAAAAGCCAGGCTTGGTTGCTTGTGCTTACAGTCCCAGCACTGGAGAGGCGGAGCCCCGGAGGATCTCTCAGGACTTAGTGGCCACTCAGCCTCGCCTGACTGGCAAGCCCTAAGCCAATGAGTCCCAGGTTCAGAAGACAAAGTAACCGGCCCCTAAGGAACAGCACCTAAAGTTATCCTCTGATATCTACATACATGTACATGTAAACACACCGGAACATACGTGTGGCCACACACACCAGGAACTATTAATGTCTGGATGGGCAGACCTTCTCCTTCAAGGTGGAAACTGTAGAGGAAACTGATCTAGATGCAAGAGGGTGGAGTTCAGCATAGACTCCCCTCTAGTTTCAAGTTACATTTCAGTTAAAGACAGTCTCTGAGAGGTGCCCATGTCTTCCACCTGTAACAGCAAGAATAAACGAATGGTGTAGATGTTTCCCGGGCTTTTGGAAGAAGCACTGAAGACCTGTAGGTGGCCTTCGGCATTGTGGCCAGGAGACAGCCCAGTTTCTTGTGTGACATCTTCAGCCTCTTAAGAAACCGTGTACATTTTTGTATTTCAGATTGTTATAGAAAAAGCACATCTCAGTCTTTTGTCATTTCCCAAGTTATTAAGAACTTAAGCAAATGTTCACCATCAAACACGTCTGCCTCATATGAGTAAACTGCTTTTATTGGAAAACTTGATGTGATTTCTAATCATCCATCGTTAGTGTTTTCAATAAGCAGTTGACATTCCCTAGATGAAGTGCCAGAACTTTAATACATATCTGATGAAATATTAAATCATAGAATCAAGTTATCAATCTATGTGATACTTCCTGGTGTCATGTGAAGCGAGGAATCTGACTTTGGAGCGCATAGAACCCAGAAGTTTCTCCCCCGTTCTGTTCTCTGTCTTGTGCAGCTTTCCTGTCACTTAATTTTTTTCTCAGTCCTTTAACATTTATTTGTTAGAACACAGAGTGTATTCTGTCTGTACTCATTCCCCACGGATGCTTGTTTAAAATGCTTTTCACTTGTGTCCTCTATTTTGACTTACATCATTTTTCACTTTGCCGTGTATGACACATGGTATCTCACCTATTCATGTGCCATTAAAGATGCAGTATTAACCAATTGGCTTTTCTAAAATGTCATTATTTGCATTTATTTTTGAAACCCTCAAAGCAGCCTTGCAAATAAGTACTAAAACTGTCCTATCCCATAAAAACCGTTTGTTTTACTCTGACGTAGATGCTGAATGTTTGGTGTGTGCTCACCAGTTTATATGCTCACAGCTAATGTATCTTTACAAGAGGAAATAAGGGCCATCTTTTCTGCAGCACTGAAATGACTGAGGACTAGCGTTCTCTGCCCGTGTTGTTTTGTGGTGAAGGGTCGCAGTGTGGTGCCGAGTCCTCCAGCTCCAGTCCTTCTGCCTCTGCTGCAGGACTGAAAAGGAAACCCTCACTGCTCCCAACCTCAGTGTCCCTGTTTTTATGAACACGTCCTCTCCCTTCAGTTTCGGTGCCCTGATTTTTGCTGGTGTCAGTAAAACCGGACGGTCCCTTCCAGAAGCAGGTGCTGTGTAACCCAGAGTCGCTGCATCTCTACTGGCCTGTTCCTATGTAATCTTTTGCATAATGTTATCCTTCTCTTTCTTCCATTTCCCTGTCACCAACCCTTATAGAGTCGGGATATAAGCCCAGAAGAGATAGATTTAAAGAATGAACCTTGGTATAAATTCTTTTCGGAATTGGAGTTTGGGAAACCGGTAAGTGCGATAGCTCCCGTGGTCCTCCTTGTGAGATAATGCTGTTGGTGCACGGTCGCTGCTGCAGAGTCAGGTCTGTGTGAGGGGTTCAGGAGTGAGAGCAGCCATGACGGTCATCCGTCGTCGGGTAGTCTTATCTTACAGCAGCCTGGAGGCTTTCCTACCAGAAAGGACAGTGAGCTCCGGGATACACCTTCCTAGAACATCCAGAGAGCATGACTGGGACATCTCTTGTCCTAGGACCGTCCCTCTGCCACACCCAACAGATATCACCGGGTGGGTGGCATTTTTTTTTTCTGCCATCCAGTCACTACTTGACGCAGTCTTTAAGGTACACTGAAGACAGGCATGGGAGTGCATCACCGAGAAGGCCAGCGTTGCAGTGCTTCAAATCATGTTTCTGAAGCATGTGCAGGAGACATGTGTCTGAGCAGCCCACCCCCCCCAAAAAAGTGCTTCTCTCTAGGTACAACTCCAATCCAGCCTAGTGAAAGGCAGCTTTTAGGGAATGGTTTCTCTGAGTTGTGCTAGCATTTTTTTTCCAGGATTTGTAATGGAGGGTAGAATTCTAGAAAATTTAGTGTTTGGCGGCTTCCCTGAGGTATTTCTGACTTGGCAGTGCAAATTGAGTCTGGCCCTTAGGGAGGGAGTTCCTTAGTCCTGTGCCCAGATGAGTTTCTGCATGAGGGTAATCTGAGCTCATCCCTCCACTCAGGGCGATGGACTTTTAACCTGTAGTCACTTTGGCTTCCCAATGAGAACTGTAAAAGAAATTTATAGGTGGAAGAGTTGGGCATAGAAAAATGAAACATTAGACACGTGGACGAGACTAACCATTGGTTTCGGTCTTGGATGATCGCTTTGTTTGCAGAGAGGAACTGATTTTGTAGTTCAGTAAAATGTTAAATTCCATGCTGTGTATTTTTCATGAGGAAGACAACGGGAAATCAGGCTGTGCTTTGAAGTTGCTGGTTTGGCTTAAAGATATTAAACTTGAAAGTTCAGGTTATCTTCTGAGTTAGGAGTGCCCAGTTCCCAACATTCTGCTCATAGGAGCCGGTAGTCCTCCCTTCTGGACCTTCCTCCATGCATGCCCCCCACCTCCACCTGTTGTTGATGAAGAGCGCCACCTAGGGGCAGTGGAGAGGAAGCATCTAGCCCAACTGCACTGAGCTTTAGCTTTCCTCTCCCCTCCTCAGAGCGGCTGTGCACAGTGCACACCTCGTTTCTTCTCCTTTCTCACTCCCCTTTTTCTGCTGCTCACCATTTGGACACTAAATTTAATGCACACAGTCTTTTCCACTTGCAAATACTGAGCAGTATCCTAATCCTCTTCCTTAAAACCTGCCCAGTTATTGCACGTATTGATAGGTGTAGCCCACGCCAAAGCACTATGATTGATGTACACAGCAGTGGTATCATGCTGTACTCGCAGAAGACGGGAGATATTCGTTTTATGTTACTTTTTCCAGAATCCATTGCCAGTGATTTTTGAAATCCCTTTCAGGAGCTGCCATTCCCCCCATCTACCAAATAACTGAACTACTTTAATCTGAAATACTACTTTCTGGCAAAAGCTAGGGGAACTTTCTTTACTAAATTAATACTAGTCATATGTTTTTATAAGTCTATCATTGCAGATGACTGATATTAGACAGTAGTTCAACCCCAGCCTTTAGCAAGCAGGTCCTGAGAATAACTTGATAAATTAACAGTTCTACCAAAAACTGTAACTTACCTCATATAAACATGGAGGATACAGGCCATTCGTCAAATAATGCCTCCTCTTTGGCGGGGGGGGGGGGGGGCCTTTTTGTGTAGCCTTAAGAACATGGGCCATGATCCTCAGGAGCCCCAGCAAGAGAACATTTGCCTGCGCTTTGAGCCGTCCTTAGGGTGAGCTTGTTATCTAGCTGAGCCAGCAGAGCTGAGAAAGGAGCAGGAGAGCGAGAACTTTTTCCTTCTCTCTCTGTTTAATTATGATGAAGCACAGAGTGCACCACTGTAAACAGGCATGCACCGTGGATGCTGCTTTGGAAGATGTGTTAACCGTTCACGAGAGGAAGGCATCCTCTCTGCTCTTTTTGTTACTCTCACACCAACGTAGGGCCGTTACTCCCGAGTCAAACCCACTAGAACTTTGGTGCCCACAGTTGCTGAGCTGCTTTTTCTTTCCCAACCTCCTCCTAAGGCCCGTCAAAAAGAACTGAAAATTACAACAAGATCCTGATTGTTGACCTCAGTAAGTTGCCCTGAAATGACAAATGATTCGAGACTCCAGGGCCGGCTGGGGTAGGGTGGGCTGGTGATTTCGAGACGCTTGCTTTTGGCCTTTAGTGACAGAGAGAGTAGAAAGTCACAGGATAACACATGTAGAAAGTCCACTTCCCAGACAGCCCCCGCGTGTGGGAAGCACTAAGAATGAATGGTGGCTGCTCTGTCACTGACCTTAGCCCAGGACTCACACACAGGCACTGCTGCTGTCCGCAGAAGCAGCCAGAGTCAGTTTGCTTTTCTCTTGGAAAGGCCTTACCGGAAACACGAGGGCCTGCCTTTCTTCTCCCTGCCCCTCCAATTTCTACGGAAATTGATTTGAAACTCAGGACACTGTTTCTCAGTGTTAAGGCCTTCGAAATGTTTCTGTCCGGTGAATTGACATGAAGCTTGTGTGCTGTCTTAGGAACTCTTAGTGATCTCGGTTTCTGATCTCCCCAGAGGTCATAGTATGGGAGCTCTCACGTGTGTCTAGACACAGTCAGAAAACATCGCCTGTGAGAGAAGTTCAGAGTTAGCAGTCTCTGGAAGTGTGCTCAGCTTTCATCCACACAAACTCTTGTTAAGCATACAGCCTTCACCTCGCAGATTCCTACCTCTCTGATTGTCTGTGAAGAGCGCGGGAGCAAGCAGAGTACCTCCCATCTGCCTAGGAGGATGGCTGTGCCTCTAGGGGTAGTGTTAGCACGGAACTCTGCTCCTTACCGGTTAAGCTGCTAGTGTGAAATGGTCATGTGCATTGTTTGAACCCCCCCCCCCCCACTCTGGATGCTCTCGCTACAAACCGGACTCCCCTTTAGTTCAGGCCACCCTCCCTGGGCCAAAATCTGTAGACTTATACATCTATTGACATGAAATGATTTTGTTTTTACAGCAGGTGAGACTATTTCCAAAATATAAACTCTCCAGTGTCGGTCTTCGTTTGAAAAAAAAAAAAAAAGTTTCTAATTTGTTCAAATTTATATTGATGCTTTTCTCCCCCTTTTAATTTTAAATTTCCAATGCTGAGGATCTGGGTTGATATACTCTTAGAGACTTACATACATTTCCTAGTTAGTGTTTTCTGCCCCATCCCCGCCCCAGGACAGACAGCTTTGTGTCCTCGGGCGGGACCCCAGCCCTTTGCTTTGAGCTCACCTTTCTGTGTTGGTCGGTTCCTAGCGTGCCCCTCTTTGTTTGAGCCCCCGTGTTTGTCTTTATGTCTTTACGCTCATTTCTTCATTTCCTCCTCTGCTTCCCGTCAGCCTCCTAAAAAGATATGGGACTATACTCCTGGAGACTGCTCTATCCTTCCTAGAGAGGATAGAAAGGTAATCCCGTGCCTCCTCCGCGGACTGGGTGCTAGACCTCTAGCTTTGGGTGCCGTGAGTGTGCTGTGGGTTTCTGCTCTTTTCTTAAATCTTTCTTTCTTTCCTTTTTTTTTTTTTTTAACTTAGTAACTTGTTTGGCCTGGTGATGAAACTATTTAACAAAGTCTGTGAGACACACTAATGTTTATAGAGGTTTTTAAAAGAACCCTTGTCATGGTCGCTATACTCTGACACAGAGGAAGCAGGCCTTTCCTCACAGGTAGGTTTTGTGGCATTTGTAGTTCTCATTCCAAGTAGAATAAATGTCTGAAGCTCTGAGACTCAGGATTTCACTGAACGTGCCTAATGTTGCTTTCTCTGTTTACACGTCTTTAACTAATTTCTAGTGAGCTCTTGTGGTTGCCTTAGGTCTTCGTGACCCTATTAAAATATGACTCTTTAAAAGAAACAAACCTCATTTTCAAACTTAACCTTCCGTTCCTTCTCCTTTTCTCTAAACTAAAACCTTCTTTCTCATCTTTTCTTTCTTGAACCAGACTAATCTAGAAAAAGATCTCGGCTTCAGCCAAGCAGAGTTAGAGGCAGATTTAGAAAAAGTGGAGACGGTTAATAAGTCACCCAGTGCAAACTCGCCACAGGTATTTCCTAGTTTTTCTCTCCATGTCGGTTCCTTTTTAAGCCCTGCTTTGCTTTGTTCTCTGTTCTTTGGCTTTATGTTGTGCAGATAAACATATCTGCACAGAGGGTGATGCTGCTAGCTTTAAATGCATGGCTTTCTGAATGCTGTTTACACACACACACACACACACACACACACAAATACACACTCACACACTCACACACGCTCACACACTCACAAACACACACGCACACACATGCATACTCTCTCACACACACACACTCACACACATGCATACACACTCACACACTCACACACTCACAAACACATGCATAATCACACACACACACACACACACACACACACACACACACAGAGTCAGGTTTTTGTTTGGATTCCTTTAGAGCTTGGCATCTTCCTTAAAGGAGTTTTTCAAATACAGGATAGCTGATAATTTGGGTTCTCCCCTACTCACCATGCCCCGGACTACTTCTTTGGTGACCTTTTAAAGTTATTTCCTTTGTCTTCTTTGAGTTTCCAGAGTGCTATTTTGGGGGGCAGTTTTTTTCCTCTTTGTAGCCCTGGGAGATGCCAACCTCAGAGGTCATTTTGAGAGACACAGCAGCGGTAACTGGGTTCAAGGCAACAGAAATAGCAATGGTGTTTGTCATTGTAGAGGTCAGCAAGTTCCCAATAGAAAACCTACTCCAGATATCAAACAGCCCGGAAACACGCATGTGAAACTGGGCCTGTGATAAAATGTCTGTGTTAAAAGGGAGGAAGGGGTAAGGAGAGAGCCAGTCCAAGGTAAACAGTGGGCTTTAGGTTCCCTGACAAAACTGAAGAGATTCATAGGAGAAAATAATGGCTTTAGAAGAAATAAAAAAAAAAAAAGTACTGTAGACAGACACTGCTGCGGTGGCCAGGAAGGGCCACAGTCTGTGGGAGGAAAAGTACAGTTGATAATGGACGTGTGCTCCATGTAGGCATTATTGAGAAGAGTCGGAACACCAGTGCAAGGAAGTTGGGCACAAAAGTCAGGTGAGAGGCTAGAGGCTCAAACCCAGGAAGGGTAAGAGAAACCACTGTTTGATGGTGGCCTTCCTATGAGTCCGGGGTAAAGGAGTGGGAAGCCAGTGAACTGTGGCAGTCATGGCTGCTTCCTTGGAGTCTGTAGAGGCACCAGTGGATGAAAAAGACAGTAGTGGCTAGGCCCTTCTCCTCCATCAGAACTGTAAGAGGTGAAGAGGTAAGTGGTCACACACCCAGTTGAGGCAGGCAGGTAATTGAGGTGAAGATAGAGTGGGATTCTGGGTTTCTAATAGGGTGGATGCTGGGACCTGGTATAATTACTGTGGGGTTGAAGATTCAAGGAAGTACTATCCCAGCCTGTTCTCTAATGAGGTCTGGCTGTGGGTAATAATAGCAATGACTGACGTGCTGGATGAGAGGTCTGTAGTAATAGGCTGGCCCAAATGAATCAAGAGATGCTTTCAGAGTAGTCAAATGTAACAAGGAACACCTGCAACTCATGCAGAGACGGGGGCACAGCTATAGCTGATAGCTACCTCTCTGAGGGCACAAACCCTGCCAGGGAAATCATGGTGCCTGATGCATCCACAAACCATTTCCATTGGTTATTTGGTGCTGTCAGTCTTGAACATATGTGAGACATGCTCGCAGGGGCTCTATACACATACAAAAAAGACTGCCTTCAGGGCATGGCAATTGAGACCACACTTATTGGGGATATTCATTTTGAGGCACTAGGGAAACATGATGTACGTGTTCAAAGGGATAAGACAGACCAGCTAGATGAGAAATCTCTGATGGGAATGGTGGGGGCGGGTGGATGGACAGGTTTGGGAAAGATTACAGACTCAGGAGTGTGACTGAGGAGATGTTGGGTTCCTTCAGACCGTTGATATAGCTAAAGAGGTGTTTGAGTGAGAGTACCGTTCCCTTAGAAGTCGAACTGAAGGCAGCAAACGGGAATGTCAGAGGCTCAGTGAGGAGGCAGCTGCAAAGGTCCAAGCAGACAGCGGTGGGAGTCCACACAGTGGAGGCACCAGCAGGGAGGAGGGAAGGCTAGATGGAGAGAGGCTGCCAAGGGAGTTGCAGTGGGCTAGTTTGCGTAGCTGGCATGAGGAATGGTGAGCTGAGGAAAGGGAAAGAGATGGATACCTTTAGGGTTTGGATCAGAAAGCTAGAAAAGTACAGATATCAATATGTTGAAGAAGCTAGAAAGAGAATCAGGGCAGAGGTAAAGTCATGGAGTTGGTTTCAGGTATTTGGCTTCTGGGGTGCTGGCCGGAGATCAGGTAGAGATATCCAGAAGGTGGTAGGAACTGGAAGACTAGATCTTAGGAAGCAGGCAAGGGCTTAAAACGCTGATTGGAGTTGCCTGCGGGGAGGTGATTGTGGGGGTCTTGGGAGTCAGTGAAGACGTCCACCAGTCAGCAAATGAAAGATTGAGAGAGGTAGGGACCAACAGCTACCCACTCAGATGTTGGATGGCATTGACAAGACAAGGTACAGGAAGGACGGGTCAGAGAGGTGGAAGGTCGCATGATGGAGCAAGAGGAGAAAGACAGAACTACCCAACTGCTCCAGAGAGATCAAAAGAAATTCTGAGAAGCGAGCTGACTGACTAGTGGAGTTGCCTGCTGTCTAAGTTTGACAACCTGGGTCCCCTTCCTGGAGCTGGATGGAGTAGGTGGAAGACGAGAACTGAGAGTTGCTCTCTGGTCTCCGTGAATGCACCATGGCACACATACCCTCCCCGACACAGTAATAAGCAAATGATTTTAAAAAGATAAACCCCCAGGATAGGTTGTAGAAATGTACAGACTTTGGTTTCTGGGTATTAGAGTTTGTGGAAAGGAACCGGAGTCCTGCAGGAATGTCCCATTATTGAGGACATGTGGGGAAGAAACATGTGGATGGGGGAGGGAGAAGACAGGGAGGTGATGACCCAGAAGGACTTAAAAGGGCCATGTCAAAGTTTTTCATGGTGGAGATACTGACAAGGTCTTCGAAAGTATAATTCTGAATGGGGCAAATGCCAAGAAGTAGGCACTTTGTGGCAGGAGGTGGACAGGTGACATCAATATAGCCAGAAGGGTTAGAGGATGATGGGGAAGGGGGATGAGCAGAGCTCTGGGAAGTAATGGCTGTGGGGGAGGAGAGGCAAACCTCACCCTGGGACATCAGTGCCTCGAAGGGAAAAGGACCCAGACTGGCAGGCTGGAGCTGAAGACTAAGTGAGGAACCGCCAATGAAGTCACCTCTCCTTCCTGTAGTCTGCTCTTCTCTGACCCACTGTCCCTTCCTCCACTTTCTGTAGCCTCCTTTCCTCTAAGTGTCTCTTCTCCAGGTAGTTTGTTTCCTTCAGATGGTTTTTAGTAGAGAGGATGATGATAGCCGTTATTAAATAGGAATAGCTGGGAGTGTTAGCATCTACATTGATTTGCTTCATTCAAATATATTGAACCCTTGGCCTGTTTTTTTTTCTCCAATACAACCAAAGACCCTCTAAATTACAGATTCCGTTGCTTTCACTTTCTAGTGGCTCTTGGCTGACTTCTTCCTTTTGTTAGTGGCCTGTAGTTTTATGAAGCATCCCCCAACCCATACTGACAGTGCTGTCACTGGATTTTGTGAAACTGTGTCTCATTTTCACACTTCTCAGTCTACAGGCATAAATGGATTGTGTAAACATGGTGTGATCATCTTAAATGCATTTTTAAAATGCAGTCTCTACCTAGAGTGTTGTGTGACCCTCCTGGATGTGGTGGCGTTTGGGGTGCATGAAAGGATCCACAGTGGACTTGGTGGGGTGTTTGAGGACTGGGGGGCACAGATGAAGGGGCTTCTGCTGCCTGGGGTTGCTGCTGAGGATAAATGTGAGCTGAAGTCCACCTCCAGGCCCATCTGTGTTGGTGGCTTCATTTCCTTTGAGGCAAATGATGAGAGCCCGGCACCCCCCAGTCTTTGTGTCCAAGCCTCTTGTCCCTCAGGGGCACCATCTACATGACCGAACTGAAGTGGCCTGTCTCTTTTCCCTTGCTTTGCAACCTGTAAATCCACCCAAATCACTGTTCCTTTTTCTTTTTTTTTACATTATTCCTTTTTCTGTTTGACTTTTACAGAGCTCAGCAGTCAGCCCGACTCCAGACGTTACCTCAGAGCCTCCTGGATAGTAAGTAGGCACTCGGTGTTTTCAGGGCTAGACAGAGTGAGAAAGCCTGGTGGTTCGGACACGGTGTTCATCTGTGTCTGTCTGGTGGTGTCTGGTGGGAAACAGCAAGGGCTTTGGTGCTGAGGAGGGCTCGGGGCAGTGGGCAGTCCTCTGCTTTGGACTTTGTCATCCTGTAGTTTGATGGTATTGTAGTTTTCAAATTAGTTTTCTTTTGTTCTCTTTCTCTGAATTATTGTTACAGTGACTCATGTTGCCTTCCTACTAGCTTTTCCCCAGGTTGATGCCGTTACCTTTGGAATGTAAAGTTATTTGTCTACGTTTATTTTAATTTTATTTCACGTGTGTGTGTGTGTGTGTGTGTATGTGTGTTGGTATGGGTGTGGGTGTGTGTTGGTGTGTGGGGGGAGTGTGTTGGTGTGGGTATGGGGGTTGTTGATGTGGCTGTGTGCTGGTGTGGGTGGGGGGTGTTGGTGTGGCTGTGTGTTGGTGTGGGTGTGTGTGGGGGTGTTGGTGTGGGTGTGGGGGGTGTTGGTGTGGGTGGGTGGGGGGTGTTGGTGTGGGTGGGGGGGGTGTTGGTGTGACTGTATGTTGGTTTGTGTGGGTGGGTGTTGGTGTGGGTGTGGGGGGTGTTGGTGTGGCTGTGTGTTGGTGTGGGGGGGTGTGTTGGTGTGGATGTGTGTTGGTGTGTGTGGGGGGTGTTGGTGTGGGTATGGGTGGGGTGTGTTGGTGTGGCTGTGGAAGTCAGAGGACAAGCTTTTGGAGTCACTTCTCTTTTTACTGTGAACTCTGGGAATCTAACTCGGTCACCAGGCTTACATACTAGTTGCTTCTTATTGCTGAGCCGTCTTATTGACCTGTTTGTCTACATTAGAATCAAAATTATCCTCATTGGATCTTTGAGGGGACAGAATGTAGCTAGGATGTACCAGACCTGGAGTAAAGATAGAGGGGCAGATCGTAGGATAGTAGGATAGTCCTAAGGCCAGTCCTGGCTTGTAGGATGGAAAGCTAGAGCCTAGATTTTCATATGGACGTGGATTTTTTTTCCCCTTCTGTCAATTTTTAAGATTTTGACTGCACAATGCATGCACTCCTCATTCACTTCTTTATGAAGTAACTGATACTGTCTAGGGTGCAGGAATAGTTTTACTTTCTTTGACAATTAATTGAAAGGCAGGAGAGAAATGAAAATCTTGGGGTATCCCAACAGAGCTACCATATGATACTGGGGAAATTGGGGCCCTTCTTGGTTTTTAGTTTCATTAATTCAAGAATTTAAGAATGGGTACACATAGGACATCTTACTAGAATGGAAAAGGAGAACCCCAGGATTGTCAGTCCCTTAGCTGCCTGGAAGGAAGGAAGGAAGGAAGGAAGGAAGGAAGGAAGGAAGGAAGGAAGGAAGGAAGGAGGAAGAGGATGGAGAAGGAACAAAAGCCACCTTGCTCGAGAGAGGCCCTTACAGGTCAGCCACCTGGCAGCAGGCAGCCCCATGGTTGGCATAGGAAATTTTGAAAAAAAGTAAGGAAGCCCAAAATGTGAATTAGGGAGATTAAAGGCATTCTTAAGTTCTGGCTAGCAGCTGGGGAAAAAAAAAAGACAGAAAAGGAGAAGAAAATAGTTACATTTTTCTGCAACAGGCTTCAGAAAAACTAGGGCATCTAGCTGAACCTCGCGGTGGCTAGATTCACAAGGACTGCACATGGAGGTGGGAATTCTGGAGAGGAAAAGTACATTATCATAAGATAAACCTGCCTTGCTAGAGATGGCCCCATACCCAAGCCACCGACAGCCCCATGGGATTCATCTTTATGGGAGCAGACAAGGGCATGTCTCCGCCTAGAGGTCGATCCCATTCTTTACTTAATCAGAGTCCTAACTCTAATCCTGTCCCAGCATGCCTTTCCCAGGGCTTTTCCGCACAGCTCTTATCCTGGCTGAGTATTTCCAGGGCTCCCCTTATCTTGCCCCAGTAGATCTGTAGTAGACAGCAAACTCTTACGCTGTGTAAACACCTACTGACTGAACTTGCTTATGCCCAGGCTGTGTTAGTGCTTCTGGGCTCCGCCTCTACTGCCAGCTATCTTGAGTTATTTGTGTATACTTAACTAATTGCTGATTATTACCCCACCCCCCCAAGGGCAAGGCCTTCTATCTCCAGGGTGCCAGGTAGACCTGATAAAATTGAGATGCTGGTTTTGATTGCAGTGAGCATTTTAACCAGGACTCTCTGCTTGCCTTGCTTCAGGGTTGGCTGGAGTTAACAGTGCTGCCTGGCCTTCTCGCTGCCTCTCATTTCCTTGAACTACACCGGACAGAGAAGCCTGCTGCACTGAATGCCCAGCTCCCTTAGGTCAGCTGGCACTATGCTGCTTATCACAGTAGGAATTTTGGAATGGTTCCTTGATTATCTGGGAGATTCCCTCACCCCCACAAAATGAGCGTAACAGATGAGAGACAAAGTGGCAGAGGACGTGTGTAAAGTGGACATCACTACTGTGGTCAGTCAGGGCTAAGAACACGGGTCTCCCCATACTTTGTTGTTGTTTACTGAGCACCCCAGGAGCAGGTGTAACCATCAGTCTCCAGTGTATTGGTGAGGAAATGGGTACATTTCCTGCCCGCAGTTCCACAGCTGCTGTGTGAGTGTTCTGCTCAGAGAAGTAGTGATGCTCTGGACCAGATGCTGGTAGCAGAGCCTCTTCTAAACTGTACTGATTCTAACTTGCTAAGACTGTAGCTGGAGGTTTACTAAAGGTTGCCGATTTTGAGCTGTTAAATCCATTGTAAGCAACTCTTTGCAGTACTGGCCTAGCGGGATTAAAGGTGGTGAATGTAAAGTGCTTCACAGAGCCCCCTTTTCTCAGACCCTCTGAGCCTTTGTGATGATACTTGATGTGTTGTTTTCCCAGCCAGTCTCCCTCCCTTTCTCCTTCCTGTCCTCCTTCTCATTTATTTTCTTTGGATGAGGTCTCATTATATGGAGAACCAGAGGAGAGCCCTGGTTCTCCTGGATCTCTCTTTGTAGATCAGACTGATCTCAAAACTCACAGAGATCTTTCTGCCTCTGCTTCCTGAGTGCTGGGGTTAACAGTGTGCACCACCACACCAGGCTTCCAATCTTATTTATATTACTGAAATAAGTCTCCAAAGACCTCAGTTTTGTTTTGGTGTGTGGGGGGGGGGGGGGGGGGAATAGCTCATCTGAAATACTTGGTAGGACAAACTGGATCAAATACGTAAGATATCTGGAGCTGGTGGGGAACCAGCCCAAGCATGGTACGTGACATAAAGGGAAGCATGCAGTTATTGGGCCCATATATCACAATTAACCGGACCCCAGCTTGCTAGGCACAGAGGCAGGCTGTTTGCATACTGAACTTGGAGCCTCTTGATGGAGGTACTGGGGTGACACGTTGAAGGAAGCATTGCCAAGGGATAAGGAGAGCTTTGCAGCTTTGTGGAACCTACAGAATTAGTTTTAAAGCCACACTTTCTTGGGCTGACTGAAATTCAGAATTTTGTTCATGAACACTGATTGTCTCACAGTTTTAACAGGGCTGGATTTGGCAGCATGCCAGATAACTGACAGGTCAAGGCCAGTCTGGGGGAGTTGGCTCAAAAGACAAACAAATAAGCAAATGATGGTGATGATGATGATGATGATGATGGTGATGATGATGATGGCAGAGCAGGCGGTCAGGGGAGGGTGGGAACAGAGTCAACCATCTTGTATTCATAGTCAATCAATGTCCCAGCATTCTACCACAGTGACCAGTCCTCTCCCTCAAATGAATGTTTTATAGTTACTGTCATAGCATATGCCTGGTTTTATATTTTATTCCCCAAGTGTTTCTGGATCTTTAAGTTTGTAATTTTCATCTAACCATTGCTTATCTTTTCAGCCTACTAAAACTGCCCTCGCTTAACCAAAAGCACTTTGCGCTGTTTAGCCAGAAGGTGGCACTCAAGGAAAAGCTGCTCTTTCTGAACCAGCAGAGAGCAGTTTCCTTACTGAAAACAAAACACAAGCTAAAGAACTATATAAAACATTGATGATTCCCCAGTTCCTGGACATGCACTGTAAGCTTCTCTGTGTGTAGGTATTTGAGTTTGGAATCATTCATTCCATCAGCATTTGTTAAAAGACCTCACATGGCACCAGGTTTAGGAAGATTAATGCAGTCAGTAGTCTGCCAGGGCTCACTGTGTAATGGGAAACAGATTTGTTAGCAGTAATTTGAATCCAGTGAGGCTGGTGTAATGCTGGGATCCAGAAGGGAGTGGGCACCTCTTACTATGCAGAGGGCGGGAGATCACAGAAGGCTTTTTAAGCTGGGGGGGGGGGAGAACAAAACAAAACAACGAAAACCAAAAAAACAATGACTTAGAAGACTGTATGGACCCCTCCCCCAAAACCACATTAATGACAGTTGCCTGGTTTTCTTTCTGAAGTTGTCAATTGTTTCTGAACAAGAAAGATTTAAGGTTTATTTTTTTTAAATTATGTATATGTGCGTATGTCTGTGTGAGGGCATGTGCACCAGAGTTCAGTGTTCTTGAAGATGAGAAGAGGGTGTTGGATCCCCTGGAGCTGGAGTTAGAGGCAGTTGTGAACAGGCTGAAGTGCTGGGAGCTGAACTCAAGTCTGCTGTAAGAGCAGGGTGTGCTCATAACTACCAAGGTATCTCTCCTAGGCTAGAAACTTTGGTCAGTTGAATCTCTTACACCCATGAGAGTGATTGATAGTAGAAGGTGCTCGGTAAGTACTTGTTTAGTAAATTAGCACATACTGGATTGCCATCTATCTTTCCTGGAGATAATACTAACAGTGATTGCAGGGAGTTGGGACTGGAGGCTGGGAGGGGCTTCGTGTAGCAGGATCATAGATAATGATAGTGAAACGACAGCCTGGTAGTAGAGAGGAAGATGGTTAATGTAGGCTAGCGAGAAAGCTGGAGGTGACGGCTGATAGGGTTTGGTGAGGAAAGAGAGGAAGGGGTTGATTCCTTAGGCTTTCTGCTTGAGTATGGGCAGGTTGCTGAACAAGCCAGGTTTGGGTAGGATGTGTTGGGCTGGAGATGTCTGAAGAGCATCCAGCTGATGTGCCTGGCAGCGTGGAGTTGGAAAGAAAGGCTTACAGACAGGTTCATTGGTGGATTTGCTAGACAATCTCACTATCAGTGTTAGTTTAGCAAATGAAAGAAACTGAAGCCAAGAAAACCAACTTGTTTGCAAGCTTTCAAACAATGTAAGCATAAGTGCGTCTCAGCGGGAATTCCTTGTTGGAATCTGGCTTTTCACACCCTATCCACTGCCCCCAGACCGCTCTGTTAGCACACCTGGACGCAGCTGATGCAGAGTGGTCACTCTGCTCTCTCACTTTATTCTTCCAGCGAGTGTGTTTCTGTTGAAACCTCTTTAAACCCCATAGGCAGCTCTGCATCTCAGCCAGAGGCTCAGTTCTCTGTCCTGTCTCCCGGCTCGGCTCTCTCAGTCGGAACCCAGATCTCAGACAGAGCTGATCTTCCGAACTTGCCTGGTCTTGTTTAATGTCAGTAGCTGCTTACTCTGGCTGTAGCTCATTCACTCAGCCAGCAGGCCAGTGTGACTTCTCTCAGCTCTGATCTTTTTGGATATAGCAAAGTCCTAGCAACTCTGTGACCTTAAGCAAAGGCAGGCACCACTCTGGTCCTCAGTTTCCTCTTTTGAGCAATGGAACAAATGACCCTAAATTAGGAAGGCCGTTGGAGATGGTGACTTTAAAAACATGTGGTGAGGCTCTTACACACTGCTCTTAAATAAGGTGCCTCGATTGCACCTCGGGCATCTGGGAAAAACATTCTTTTGTTAGCTTTGGTATCAGAAAGAAAACATTTGGCTGTAGCAGCTACATTCCCAGAGATTTCCTGAGTGCTGGCTTGTCATTCTGTGAGAAGCAGGAAGAAATGGGTGGGACACAGAAAGCAGGCAGGCTGGGTGGGGGGAGTACCGAGGGCTGCTGAGGTAGAGGTCCTAGGTCAAGCAGCTGTGGGAAAGGAAAGGTAGGTAGGAGGTCTGACTGAGCCTGAGGTCATTCAGAACGAAAAGGTGGCAGGTGAAAGTTGTCCAAGTTACTCTCCAGCACCACAGGCTGGGCAGGACCCTCATATCAGAGTCCTAAGTCCCCCTATCTGGGGGTTGACAAAGTCAAAGAACCAAATATGTGGATAGTTTTGCAGTTGGTGTTTGTACAAGAGGAATAAAATACGTTGTTGTGTTGATCTTTAATTAGGAAACCCAAACAAGTAAAAAAATCGATTTAGATGAACTTGTCCTTTCTGGAGGCAGGGTCTATTGACCCATCCTTGGGTCCCTTTTTTTTTAAACAGGAGCCCATGAGTTTTTTATCATAATCTTGGGGTGGGAGGGTGGAGGGTTTTTTGTTGTTGTTGTTGTTGTTGTTTGTTTTTTTGTTTTTTGTTTTAAGCAAACCCTGTAGATCAAAAGCTACATGGGCAGAGCCAGCGTCTCCAGGCTGACCCCTGAGCCCAAACCCCTTTCTCTGGGGGTATGGTGGTACTTTCAGGCAGGTTTGCTGGATACCTGTGATGACAGATACCAGGGGTCAGCATCTCTAAATCACTTTTTTTAAAGGAAGAATATCTAAATTCATGGTTTTACATACCTCAGCCCAAGTTTGCCAAGTTTTACCCTTTTACTCATTCAGAGTCTTCACCGGGTGCCCTCATGGGCAGTGTGGTCTAGGGGGCTGTGGGAAATCAAGGCAAAGCCTTGAAGAAAAGGTCAGCCCATCCTTATTCCGCGTTTTCTCCCAAGTGAGAGATGAATTGCTTGGCGCCTGCTTCATTTGTCTCCGAGTAAGAGATGAATCGAGAATACCGCTTGGTGCTTGCTTCGTTCTCGTGGTTTTCAGCCTTGAGACTTAGTTTTCTTAAAGTCTTTGGGGTTCCAGTGGCCTTTTCCCCCCATTTCAGATAACAAAGAAAAAAATCCCTTCATTCAGGCTCTAGAGAGTAAGAAGCCCGTGTAGCCTTGGGCAGGTCCTCTGCAATGGTGGTAAAGCCCTTAGCCTTCTGTGAGCATGAGGTATGGCTAGTTAGTGGCAACAGCTATGAGGGCTGTTGCTCATGCTGGAGGCACTTAGGAACTCTAAGATGTAGTCACCACTGCATCTCCGGGGCTCCTCTCTTCTTTGAGTCCTGCGTGTGGGTACCACTTGTTCCTGGGATAGAGTCTTGGCAGATGATGTTTGGTGATAATGAAAATGAAACTCAAAACCCTTGACTCCTGCAGCGTGTGAAACACTGCCTCATTGACCAGACGGAAATAGTCTAAGACACCATCAGAGAATCAACCTACATCCAGTGGTGTAACTAGGGTTCTGGCTCTGTAATCTGCTGATCTTGCCTACCTTGACAGGCTTCTAATCCTTCAGGGCTTCATTTCCTTATCTGAAACCAAAGGAAGAGGTGTGTGTGTGTGTGTGTGTGTCTTTTATGTCATACTTTTTTTTGCCATTGTTATCTGTAATTATTGGAACTCAGGCTGAATGAAGGGCTGGGTTTGTGGAATATGGAAAGTTTCATCAGTGGGTAGACGTGAAGACAAATGTATAGACATGTGATAAGGAAGTACCTTTCAATGTTCCCTGGAAAACCTCAGTGGGATTGATGTGAGTGGCCACTCTTCCTAATCTTTAAACTTTTCTATGTATCTGATAACACAATAAAATATTAGAGTGAATGAATTCCATGAGGCTGTTGGTCTTCAAAACTGACAAATCTTATGATAACAGTAATCTTACGACAAATCTTATGATCTCATTAGGATCAAAAGTATAAAACAGAAGCCTATATACTTTTATGAGAAAGACATTATTCTCTTCTTGGGGAATGAGGAGGTATTGGAGTAGAGGTAGAAAGAGACAGAGTATGTGCCATGTTAATGCTTCAGCAGGTTAGACCACAGGAAAAGCAGATATGCAAAGGGAGTTCAGTGAGTAAATACTTTGGGGTTTTTCCTGTGCCGCACCTCATTCCAAAGAGAGTTTGTAATAACTTGAAAAATACCTAGATTTCAAAGAAGATAAAATAAATGAAGGCCTAGAGAAATGGCTCAGTGCTTGGGAGCTCTTACTGGTCTTGCAGGGGAACCAGGTTGGTTTCTAGCAGCTCACAATTGTCTGCGGCTCCAACTCCAGGGGATCTGATGCCTTCTTCTGCCTTCTCTGGGCACTTCAGCCATGTAGTGCATATATATGCACACGCAGGCACATACTCATACACATAAAATAAAAATAAATAGACCTTTAAACACATAAATGAATCAGAAGCTGGAATGATGGCTCAGCAGTTAAGAGCACTTGTAGGTCTTGTAGAGGATGCAAGTTCAGTCCTCAGCACCCACATGATGGCTCGCAACCACATATAACTGCAGTTCCTAGGTGTCCAGTGCCTTCTTTTAACCTTTGTGGATACCAGACATATATGTGGTGCACATGTATACATGTGGGCAAAGCATTCATATGTGTGTGTGTGTGTGTGTGTGTGTGTGTATACACACACATATATATATATAATCAGAATAAAGTTCATACTTGAAAAATAATAAGTGAAGCAAATAAGTGGGCAACGGTGTGTGGATGATACACGGTGTCAGATTCTGACAACAGCTTTGAGGGAAATGAATGCAAGATGCGGCTGTGACATTGGGCATAGGGGTTTATACCACTGTGAGGCTGAGACCGGAAGATCACCTGAGTCAAAACCTCAAAACAAAGCCCTAGCTATGATAAGGGCGCATAGAATTCCAGGTTCTGACTTTGCTCGGTTGCTCATTTCCCCGAGGCCACAGATAGCTAGGGCTCTCTTCCTTTAGCTGGTGATTTTGATGGTTCTGTCAGCCAAAGCTCTCATGCAAGGTAACCTAGAAAAAACATAATCTGGGCCATGGGCTTGAATTTGCTGGCCGCACCTCAGGCTGAACTCCCCTATCAGGCCTCTGTGTCCCCTGCTCGTGTCCCTGGATGTGCCGTCTTGTGCTTAGTCACTTGGCTCCTTGTTATCCTACCCATTTTTTTTTTTTTTTTAGATAGGATCTCACTGTGTAGCCCAGGCTGGCCTCAAACTTAAACTCCTCTTGCCCCAGCCTCCCAGGTACTAGAATCACAGCGCTTTTTTATTCCTTTTATTCTTTTTGGGGCGGGGGGGGGGGGCGGGCCTGAGACAGGGTTTCTCTGTAGCTTTGGAGCCTGTCCTGGAACTAGCTCCTGTAGACCAGGCTGGCCTCAAACTCAGAGATCCACCTGCCTCTGCCTCCTAAGTGCTGGGATTAAAAGCGTGCGCCACCACCGCTCAGCTCCTTATTTATTCTTTAGACAAATGAAGACATTACAGCTTCGGGAGCTTTGTTGCTTAGGTAGTGTTCCTGTGCACCCAGGCCATGGTGGCCTACCGGTCGGCAGAAATCTGTGTCTAAATGAACAAGCCCCGAGAAAGCCCAGGGCCTGAGGAGGGAACCAGAAAGCAACTTTCTTATCAGCTGGTGACAAAGGGGCTTTCTAGAAGAATGTTGAACAAACTAACTTTGTATGTTTTTTCTCCCTCTCCTTTTCTCTCTCAAAATGACCTTGTTTGTAGTATATATTCTTCCAACTTCCATGCAGTGAAGAGAGAACCAGATGGGACCCCCGGGGTTCTCGCTAGCTTGGAGAATGAAAGGCAGATTTATAAAAGTGTCTTGGAAGGTGGCGACATCCCTCTTCAGGGCCTGAGCGGGCTCAAGCGACCCTCCAGCTCAGCTTCCACTAAAGGTAACAGACAGGCTGCAGACTGCAGGCGTCTGTCTCCTACATGCCTGTCACCTGAATGTTGGCAGCGAATGGACCTCCAGCAGCAGGGGACAGCTCTGCCTATTCAGGTCCACGTTCAGGCCTTGGAGCCTTCTTATGCCCCATCACCTATTTTCTTGCCGGCCATTTTTCTTTCTGGTATTAATGGTCCCCACCACCAACTCCAACCTTGTTCTCTCTGAAACATCTCTCTCTCTTTTTGTTGTTCTAATACCCTTTTCCTAGAGTTAGCCGAGCTTCAGCCTTCCTTAACTGGCGGGGTGGCCATTTCTTTCGTTGCATCTTTGCACCTGCTTTGCAGCACAAATTATTTTGCTTCTGGACATCAATCGGAGACTTTTTAAAGCCCTTATGATAAATGAGCATGTTACCTCCTCTTTTTTTTCTCTCTCTCCTTTTTTTTTCTTCTTTTTAAAGGCAGCTTTCAGCTTTAACCTAATGGGTGTGTTTATTTTATTCTGCATGCTTACCAGTGGATCGTAAAGGCGGGAATGCTCACATGATTTCTTCATCATCAGTCCATAGCCGAACGTTTCACACTAGCAATGCTTTAGGCCCCGGGTGTAAGCACAAGAAACCCCTGTCGGCTGCGAAAGCCTGCATTTCGGAGATCCTTCCTTCTAAATTCAAACCCAGGCTCTCTGCTCCCAGCGCTCTCTTGCAGGAACAGAAGAGTGTCCTTTTGCCCTCAGAGAAGGCTCAGAGCTGTGAGAACCTTTGTGTTTCTTTGAATGATCCCAAAAGAGGCCTCCCACTCCGGGTTGGGGGGAGCATCGAGAACCTGCTGATGCGCTCGCGGCGGGATTACGACAGCAGGTCCAGTAGCACCATGAGCCTACAAGAGTATGGTACCAGCGCCAGGAGGCCCTGCCCTCTTTCCAGAAAGGCCGGACTGCACTTCTCCATGTTCTACCGGGACATGCACCAGATCAACCGAGCTGGCCTCTCCTTAGGCTCCATCTCCTCCTCAAGTGTGCGGGATCTCGCCTCCCACTTTGAAAGGAGCAGCCTGGCATTAGCCAGGGGTGAGCTGGGTGCTAGCCAAGAAGGCTCAGAGCATATCCCCAAGCACACTGTGTCTTCCCGTATCACGGCCTTTGAGCAGCTCATCCAACGGTCCCGGTCCATGCCATCCCTGGACTTTTCTGGCAGGCTGAGCAAGTCCCCCACACCCGTGCTGTCTAGAAGTGGCCTGACTTCAGCTCGTTCGGCCGAGTCCCTCCTTGAGTCTACGAAGCTCCGTCCAAGAGAGATGGATGGGATGAACTCTGGAGGGGTCTATGCATCCCCCACGTGTAGCAATATGGCGGACCATGCCTTGAGCTTCAGGAGCCTTGAACCTTCTGAGCCCCTTTCTCTCTGTTCAGATGAGCTAGACCACTGTTCAAATGTTTCTAATGACAGCAGGGAGGGCAGCGGGGGCAGTGTCCATGGAGACTTCCCCAAGCATCGCCTCAACAAGTGCAAGGGCACCTGCCCGGCCTCATACACCCGCTTCACCACGATCCGGAAGCACGAGCAGCAACAGTCCTCCAGGCAGCCAGACTGGCGCTCCGATTCCAGGGGGGACAGGAACAGTCTCCTCAGAAACATCTACCTGATGAGCCCCCTCCCTTTTCGGTTGAAAAAGCCCCTCCAACACCACCCCAAACAGCCTCTCCCCAATGACTCCTCAGGGCCCCCTGCCAGTCAGAAGGCAGACACCCCCAGTCAGGGCCCTCAGGACCAGCCCCACTCTGAGGGGAAACCCATGGTCCCCACCCGCCTGTCTTCCCGACACACCATGGCAAGGCTTAGCCACAACTCAGAGCCCTCTCTGGACAGATCTGCAGGCCTGGAGGATTGCACAGGGGCCGTTAATAACGGGAACCCCATGCCCTACTCAGACCATGGCTTGGACAGGAACAACAATCTGCAAAGGGAACTGGCAGCGGCCCATGGAGGTGGCATTTTGTGTGTGTGACCAGTCTCACCTCCCCTGTCTCCACTTGGCTTGCTCTGTCCCTCCCTCTGTGTACCTCTGGTGCTCATCTTTTGCCTTGTCCTTTGCTTCTGTTTGTTTTGCTTGGCAATTAACCATGGCTTGTAGTGGCTGCACTTCTTTAAAAACAAACCCCCCACTTCATTTAGACTAACCACCACCAAACTGTTTCGAAAGAAAAATTGGCCGTTTAGCTTGTATTCAAGAACTGGGTTCATTTGAACTCTCAAACCCCTGTTCGCATCAATCCCCAGTCTCCCTGTGGTTTTTTGAGAGGCAGCCTCTCTCCGTGGCCCCATGTGTGTGAGTGTATGGTCTGTCCCTGTTAGAGCCTGCACGCCTCTTTGTGGGGATGCCTAAGAGAATGTCCCTTTCTTTGCTCACCTTCTGGTGGCCTTCTGGTGAGTTGTCTTTGTATTAAATTGGTTGTAAGTAAATCAAAAAAGCAGGTGGGGTTGGGGCTTAGGGTTTTTTTCTTCAGCATTTGTCATTAAGCGTTACTCAGCAATGTTTATAAACTTGACCTTAAGAATAGAAAAAACCTGGCTTCCCACTAAACCTTGGCCCGTTTTAACTCTGCTCTGTTGTTTTGAAGATTCAGAGTCACCAAGACATTTTATACCAGCTGATTACTTGGAGTCCGCGGAAGAATTTATCCGGAGACGGCATGATGATAAAGAGGTAATTCTCCTGTCTTAACCTTTTTGCTCTTGTTTGGGAAGAAAAGAAAAGTGAGGGAACTGAATTTTCTAGACATCTGTCAGAAGGGTTATGGTGCATTGACCAGAAGCAGTGGTGGCTTTAAGATATGGGCTCCATTCACTCTAGTAGTCTGCTTTCCCGGAAAGCAGGACCGACTGTCCCCTATGGCCACTGGGTTCTAAGTGCCACCTCCCTCCAGTGTCTTGAAGGTAGATGACATGGCCTGTATTGGACTTAATACCTTGGAAGCTTAGAAACCGGAGTTCAGGTTTCTCATCCTTCCTCCAAACAATACATCCCATGTTGTGATTTAAGGAAATCCACCCTTCTGTTTCTCGGGTACTCAGAATCGGCACAGAGCATACTCCCAATGGGAGAGGATTGTCATCGGAAAAATAGAATGGCAGTACTGGCCACACTACACTTTATAAGCAATTTGAAGAAGTTGGTTGTAATTCTGCTGGCTTTACCGCAGAAAGGAGATGTCACATTAGTGATGGCAAACTCCACACGAGAACTTCAGAGTCTGGATTTGGGTCCACTGAAATGTCTCCATGTGGGATGACTTTCAGGGCCTGGAATAGAGCTGTCCTGGGAGGGTATGAACAGCCCATCTTGTGTATCGCCTGAGAGGGCAGCATCTTCACTTCTGCTGGGATAAATCCTTACAACACATATGTTCCAGCTGCACATTCCAAGGAAAAGGGAGTCACATAGATTAGATAAGTCCAGTGTCCACTATCCTGCCATTTGTTAAGAGATGCATGGATACTCTGAACTGCTAGCAGTGCAGGAGGATGTTCAAATATCACAACTGTTCCCATCCCCCTTTTCCCTGTTTGTCTGGCTTGAGTGGTCCCAAAGTTTAGGTGGAGTTTCCTTAAGGGTTTAAGGCAAGGCTGACTCTGAGGGCTCTGATGATAATCACTGCTATTAGGTGGTGTAAAACCAACATGTCTCTCTATAGACATTGTGCTTATCTCTCAGAAGCCAGGGGAAGTGTTTGGTGCCCAGAATTGTTTAAATTACCAAATCTAAAACTCATAAATGATGACTGTCTGTCCGGACTTAGAGCAGATTCTTTTCCAGACTTTTCTGTACTTGTTCTGTCAGAGAGACAAAGTTTTCATGCCATGAGAGGAAAGTTAAAAATCCATTTTAGTACTAAAACGTTTGTGGAAGGTTCGGTGGGTGAGTCTTACTAAGAGGCATAGTTTCCTAACTTGGTTTAATCCCTTAAAGGCTGCACACTCAACATGAGAAGTTTGCATCCTTGGGGATCCTAATGGACAGATCTTGAAATAGTTTATCTTTCCTCGTGGACATGGGCTTATGTAGTTAAACCACAGACCTGGTGGATTTCCTGAGTCAGGTTTAAGTACCAGGTTTAAACCCTTTCCATTTGATGTCTGCCCTGCAGATAATGACTCGCCAGCCAGAGCACTAGGGCTCTCGAACAGGGCCTTGAGCATGTCTAATCCACTGCTGTAGAAACAGTCCGGGAGAGTGTTAGTCTGCACCCTTTTATGCACATCTGTTACGATTGATGCTGATGATAACGGCCTTTCAGAAAAGGAGAACTTATCTGTTCTTAAGGTCCTTGAAGTGGTGACCAAGCCAACCCTCTTGTTTTATTCAACAAGGGTATGGCTTGAACAGGGACACCTCTCGAAAGTATTTAGCCAGGAACTAAAGCTCCGCCTTCCTGTAACAGCACTTTTTCTATGACACCGTGCTTTGCAAAACACTCTGTCATCTTGCTTACTCTTTATGATTGTTTTCGGAGTGCTGGATGACCCATAGCCATTTGCTGAGTTGTTTTTGTGGATCCCAGAGGAACACTGGGCCATTATCTTTTGGAGCTGAATGTCACATGAGTCATTCCATTGTCTGCTGGAAGAAGACTTACATCTAACTGAGCATGTTAAGAAGTACTGGTTCTAATAAATACTTTTCCACAAGGAGTATTAATCCAGGAATGAAAATTGCAGTGGTATAAGAAAAGTCATTAACATTCTTTTCTATTGGGCCGTTGGAATAGGCCATGAATGGTATTTGGTGAAAAGCAACATGGATTATTTGAAAAAAGTCTTGAAGAAAAATAGATGATTATTTTCTTTTAAAAATACTTTTATTATTTACTATTTGAGAATTTCATGCAAATATACAAATGTTTGAATCAAATCCCTCCCCCACTCCCTCTACTCTAATTCATCCCATACCCCTCCCCCAACTCTCCCTCCCAACCTTTCATTTCCTTAGTAGGGGTATCTGTTTCTTCTAACCCCAGAGGCCATTGTTTTCTCTACTGTGTCTACAGCATTCCTGAAACTCAGCTTTATTTCACCTAGTGTAGAAACAAGCCAGTGAGACAGTAACAAGACTCCCTGTCAGCCACATGGAGAACCATTTCTGTAAATCCTGAGGCCTCCTGGAACTTTCGCCCAGGGGAAGAGGTGGCTGTCCTAGGAGAAGAGGTGCCCCATTCTGTGAAAGGGGCAGCTCAGCTGTGTGCAGAAGATGATAGTGTAACTGATAAAAGAAGCAAAAAATAACCTAATTACTGGATAGTCCAGACCTGTAGCCTGAGAGGCCTGGTGTAGTTAGGGGAAAATAACACACCACCATATGTCTTAGAAACACTGTATGACTGTATAATTGTCTAAGGCAGATAGGGATGCCAGCTACCTACCCAACGTGATAATAGTGCCTAGGCTATATATGTACCCTTGGGTCACCTGACCTTCATTGCCAGAAGGCACAGGGTTTGGACTGAGCCCAAGGATAGTCAGACAGACACTAAAGAATATAGACTCATTTGTCCCCATATCCCAGTGTCCCCACTTTCTTCTGGGAAGTATCCTCTCCTTCCTACAAAATACACAGTAGATAATTACCAAGGGAACATAAAAGTTATGGTCATGAATCCTTTTGACACTGACCCTTAATGTCTTCTCCTTATTCACCCATACCTTCTTCCTTAGTTGCTTATGTGGCCATTTTCCATTAAGCTGGAGTAGATAATTCACTGCCCATTTTATACAATTTCATGGCAGAAACTTTTAGCGGACCAGAGACGACTTAAGCGTGAGCAAGAAGAGGCCGATATTGCAGCTCGACGCCACACGGGTGTCATCCCGACGCATCATCAGTTTATCACTAATGAGCGCTTTGGGGACCTCCTCAATATAGATGATACTGCAAAAAGGAAATCTGGGTTAGAGGTCTGTTTTGGTCGCCGCCAACTGCTGCTTGACCCAAAGCAATATTTGCCTTCCTTTGGCATTGCTCTCTGTAGGCCAATTTAGTTCTCCAAACAGCGTCTGTCATCCTGGCTTCCCTAGCCTTGCTTTGGCTCTTTTGTGGCTGGTGAATAGACATGAATGAGCCCCACTATGTCTTGTGCTCTATATGTTAAGCATGCCTGGCTGTGGGACTGGGATCTGCTGGTGCACACTCCTGCTGCATGCTTAGAGCATTGGCTGCCTCATGAGTCCAGTTCTCTCCATCTTGCATTTGACCGTGGTACCGTGTTGCATTGTGTTCTGCTTAGAAGCTGTGTCCCTTTGGCCATGTGTCTCAGAAGCCTGGGGATGAACAACCCAAGGGTCTTCTGTAAAGAGATGGTTAATGAAGCTTTCCTTATTAAAGTTCCCTAGTGACCTTTTATAGCATTGGCAAAGGCCCCCAAACTTAGTGACATTGCTGCTGAAAACTCAGGGAGTAGTACTGATTGCTCAGCGGTGCTGAAGCGTTGCACAGAAGTTTGGAACTCTGACTTCTGCCACGAGGATAAACCTGTGGAGGGGATAAGAGCCCTGTGAAGAGACCCTTCATCTGCTACCTTAAGTTTCACATTTCTAAGCTTAGCCTACAAGAGTTTAATACTATGCCAGGAATGAAGAGCAAGAGTGTAGTGATTTTATCCAGGTCTTGCCTCTCACAAGGTCAATATGGTAGATCAAAGGCTACTTCTTGAGTGGGAGTTTATGTCCTGCTGTATAACCTTACGTAATCCCGTGGAGGGTCATGTCTTCTCCAAAAGTATATGTGTCTTTGGCAGAGGAAGTGACACTAGACCTAGTTTTATTACCTTTGGTATAACTGACGTTTCTGTCTTTCCAGTAATGGGCATCGTTAGCTTTTTGGGGTTTTTTTTTTGGGTTTTTTTTTTGTTTGTTTGTTTTTGTTTGTTTTGTTTTTTGTTTTTTTTAAGAAATGGAAGGTTCCTGGGAAGAAGTGATAAAGGAAAAAAGAGAGAGAAGGAAATTTGAAAGAAATTTGCCGGACAAGGTAGATTCTAAAGTATGGAGAAAAAGAAGAAATGTAGTAGAGGAAACAAAAGTTGGCGAGTCTCTGTCCACTTGTGAGTGGCAGGCAGCCTGGTGGCACTCAGTGTGAGGGAGCCTTCTCAGCACAGCCCTGCTTCGAAGGCTCTGCTGACAGTTTAGCCTGCCTGTGTGTGAGGAAGGAGCCTACAGAACTGCCGTAGGGATACATGGGCTTGCCAGGGCTGCTCAGCTGGAGTAGCTGTGACAGGCAGGCACGCTCTTCTTACTGGACCTGCATCCCCTCCAAAGTGGTATTTCCCAAATTGTGTGAGAACTGCTAAATGCAGAAACCAAATTGCAGACTTATGCATCCCACCACTGATGTTTTGATCTGGGGTGGGGTCTAAGAATTTGCAAGTTGTATGACGCTTTGGTGTATTAAGGCCCACGTTTAAAGAATCACTGTCCTTTAGTTGAAGGACAGTTAGTTGAGACAGTGACACCAGCAAGTGCGTGCCCTGTGCCCTGTGCCCTGTGCCCTGTGTCCTGTGCCCTGTGCCCTGTGCCCTGTGCCCGATGGTGGAGTCAGCAGCTCCTAATTCTGTATAGCACTCTATCCGTGTAGAGTAGAAACAACACAATTCATGTCTTATGCAGAAATCACCTTCATGTATAATTACGTCAGGCAGGTGAGGTGGCACATACCTTAATCCCAGCACCTGGGATGTGGAGTTAGGAAAATCAGAGTTCAAAGTTATCCAAACAACGGCTGTGTGCCGCTGTGGTATACATTTTATAATGTTCACACGGCTAATAGCTGGATGACATGGGTGAGCCATCTCTGCCCCGACACCTTTTTCATTACGATTTCTATGAAGTTTTTATTCTTGCAGTTTGGTCTTTGGGTCTTCTATTGTGGACATGTTCTTTATCCTTACCCTCACATCCATTCTGCTTGTGTTTGCCTACAACTCTTGAAGTATGCCATAAATATAGGTATTAGGATTATATGATATTTTCTTGATTCTAAGGTGGTTATTTGGTTGCCCCTTAATGCATATGTATACAGATAGAAGGGAACAGGAGCATGAGAATACAGGATGAAAATTTCCTATGCAGAACCAGTCTCAGCACACGCCTGTGATCTCAGCTTGGGAGGAGGAGGGAGGAAGACCCAAAGCTCCAGGCCAGCCTCGGCGCCACTAAAACAGCGTAAGACAGAAAAACTCCTGTGGCTGTGGTGCAGTACGAACCCTAGAAGATCTCTGTGAAAACCATCTCGAGAAGCCTGGAAATGCAGGGTGTATGACCAAAGGACAGCAACTAGAACAGTAGAATAGCCCGGTGAAGCTTTTGGGTGCCTTTTCTCACCTCGAGGGCTCCACTCTCCCCCTTCCACTCTGCCCTTGTCTTCCATTCATTTCCTTCATGCTGCTCCCCTAGACAGAGACCACAGCCGCTGACAAGGTCAGAGCTCTGCCTGTAGAAATAGCTTATGCATGTGATTCTAGCAATTTCACAAGTCCCCTTTTTAAAGAATGTTTAAGGGCAGAGGAGAATTCGAGGCCAAAGAATTCAAGGCTGAGATGTGGCATGCACACAGGAGATTGTGACGCAGAGAGACATTTAAGTGTGAGGGGGTTGTGACCCACAAGCCTCCACCCAGGTTAGAGATAGAGATTTGATCTGCTCCACAGTCCAGAGCCCAAGCCAACATCAAAGCAACGCTCCCCCCCCCCCCGACCCCATGTGAGGAAGAATTTGAAGAATGTTATTTGTGCTCCTGGGTGACAGTAGATTAGAGTGAGGAGAAGGTAAAAAATCAAAGGAAGCTCTGTGTCTGTGGGAACCAGAGGTCAGACCCAGAGCAACAGGGTTTTCCACTGAGGGCATGCAGACGCAGGCGTGACTGCTGACAAACTTAATGAGAATGTGGAGACAGCGAGGTCTGGCTTTCCAGGCTCAAGTGTCTAGGAGAAAGAGGTTGCCACAGCCAGGGTGGAGTTTCAGGATGTAGAGGTAGAGTCAGGGTCCCCCTAGCTGGCTTTTCGAATGACGTCACAGACTGTAGGGGCATGTGGAATAGAAGATGCCGTGATAATGGCCAGAGTTTGGTCTGCTTTCAATTCATAGCTTACACCAGGCCAATAGGAGCTGTCCCACAAGGAGTAAGACGGCAGGAAAGGATCGTCTGAAGACTGCTGGCTGACAGCATGCCTGAGGGGCTTTTCAAACCATCTCTTACCTAAGTGTGGCCTTCTTGAAGGGGGATTTTCATGCATGACGCAGCTGACTAAACATCCGTCTGTCATTCTGATGAGGTCAGGTGCTGCGATTTGGTTCAGATTTCTAAACCGAAATGAACTGGTTAGATTGGGTTTCTCTGCTTTGCTTCCTAGAACCTTGTGAGAATGTCTCCTTTTCATTGTTCCACTGTCACAGCTTTTAACTCCGCATTATTTCTTGTGTTTAGATGAGACCTGCCCGAGCCAAGTTTGACTTTAAAGCACAGACACTGAAGTAAGTCCTGCCATGTTTGTCTTCTTCGCTGCCGCTTTGAAAATACTGTTGGCTTAGGGCAAAGAGTTGGGAGAAACAACTAAGACAGAAATGAAAATAATAAAGTGTAGACTCAATGCCAGGCGCTGTTACACTGCCTATATTAGCTCATTTAGCTCTCGTGAATAAGGCTTGTGTCCTGTGGGGTGGGTGCCATCATTCCCACTTCCAAAAATTAGGGAACCAATATGAAGGAGCTTAGCCCACTTGAGAGGTGATAGAGCCAGTGTTCAAACCCAGCAACTTGGTGTCTGAAGCTACTACCTCTTACCTGAGTAGGTGCTCTGCTTGATTAGATTGCGGCATGATCTGACCCAGCCTTTAGTAGAAGCAATCCGAACCAGTCTCTAGGAATAGAACTTGACCCATTTTACTAGAGCATTCTCAAAAGAGAATGCCTACAGGATGCTAGCTAGCATTTCTCTAAGTATGTTCCTCGGAATGTTCATCCTGCAAGGTGTTCTAAAAAACAAAACCAAAAAACTAGTGTAGTAGAAATGAGTCAGAGAACCACTATATTTAGGCTCCTGACCCCTGGGGGAGATGAGCTGCTGTTGGCATGTTTGTGGCCGTGGAACTCTCTCAGAGACAAAACTTCATCTGCTTATTTGGCCCAAGTATTCTCTAAATTTAGGTGACCCGGAAACCTTTCTGTTTTCTATGGAACACAGTTTGGGAAATGCTACCAAAAACAGATTCCCAGAAGGACTTGCGAGCCTTATAGCTAAGCATGGATTAAAACAGACCGTGAGTTTTCCTTGGCAGCTGAAGATAACGTGGCCAGCCACATCCCATTGTCCGGCTGACAGGAGACACCAGGGAGAGGGCGTGCTTCCATTCATCAGTGATGAAAAACTCTGCCTCAAGGCTCCTCAACCGTGTTTTCCATTTCCTTCAACACAAAAGGAGTGGCCAGACCAAGTCTCAAGAATGCAGACATGAATCTGATGTGGTCGGATTTGATGTTATTACTCCATTCCCTGAGTTTACTAAAAGAAACAGCCTTGTGGGCTTTGGATTCAGGAAGTCCTGGCTCTGCCACTCACACACATCTCTGTAACTGTGGCCAAGTTATACAGGGTTTCACCCTCAGCTTCTCTCGTTACTAAGATGAGACTAGAAATTCCTCCCCTGCAAAGAGACTAGCCAGGGTGAAACCAGTGAGATTTTTACACAATGTAGCAGAAGTCAGTACTCAGTGTAGATTGTCCTCTATCCTCATTTTTCAGCCAGAGGGAATGATGAAGATATATGAATTAATTTACAGATTAATCAAGGAGATAATATTTTTTCTTTAAATTGATACTTTGGGTGATGTATTTTCAAAGATTCCATTTTAAAAGTTTGCTATCCCCCCTATTGGATAGAAGATGTAAGAAGACTTGAGGTCCACAAGATTTTCACCATTTATTAATACTGCTAATGCCAGAGAGCAGTTCCTTCCTCCTGGCTCATGTTCTCATCATGATATACTGTTCTTATAATAAAATCAATAGAACTTAGTAGAAAGAGTAAATTCCGGATTCACAGACAGGATTATTTTCAGTGTGTTCCTTTAAAAAACAAATAACTCTGCTCTGGGGCCATTTGATTCAACAAAGTCCACCAGGCTTTGTCTCCCTATACTCAGGGCCACACATATAACAACCTTCCAGAAAACATCTTTATGTCCCATCTGTAGTGCTTTACGTATAGCCCAGGATAGATAGTTATGAATATATTCCCGTCCATAAGCATAAGACATTATGAGGCTGTTGTATGATGGGGAAGGGGCTTGGTGTGTGGTTCAGGACCTGGAAGTTTGCAGGTGACGATGTTGCATTACAACAACAAAAGCTTGTACACATCTGAAAGCATCTTGTGCTGCTAATCCCAGTCCTCTAGCATGTGGATCCGTGGGAGCTGAACGTGTGGCCTGAGGGAGACACTAGCGGATCCACTTTCCTAGGGACTAGTTCCTGGTTCTTTCCATCAGACCAAGCTGCCACCTAAGTAAGCAAACAGAGCCCTTCTGTGAGAAGAGGTCAGGTGCAGCAGTGCTGGTACCAAGGTGGCCGGGTTTGAAGCCTGAGTCTGTCACCTTGCAGGTAGGATAGGAAGGATTTAAGCCACAGGAGCCCTGTTGTCTCTGTTGGTCACAAGTACAGACTTCCCTGTGTTCATCTGTCTCAGGGCGGTGGTTCTCAGCTTAACAGTGGGGCCATTTCAGGTCTCACCTCTGCCACACTGCCACACTTAGACCGGGAGAAGGCTTTGACAAAGTGTAGCCAGAGCCATTCCTTTGCACGAAGATGAAATCCTTTTTGTGGACTTACTCAGGATTAGAACCAGTCTTCCAACACAAGATCCACAAAAGCCTCCTCAGATGCTTTTCTCCAGCTCATGGCCAACATTGTATACGTTTTTCCAAATGTTTAGGTAGCATCCCTCACGTGGGGCTCCCTGGCATACTGCAAAACTGGCACATCCCCTCAAATTACAGTGAGAGACCTTCTCATGATGTTGGCGTGGTGCAAAAATGAAAACTATTTAGACATTTTTCTTTTTAATTCAAGAAAATTTCAAGTTATAATTTTGTTGTTTCATTTTGTTCATAATGAAATATATATTGATATAATCTATAATGATGTAATATAATGATATAATTTCATTTTATTTTTTTTCCTCCGGAAAACAAAAGAAGTCCTCATTAGATGTGAATATTATCACAGTTGAGGTAAATGAAGAGCTGGGTGTGAAGAGATAGTTGGGAAAGATACAAACAGCTTTTGAGAAAAAGCATCCATTTTTATTTCCTGTTTCCCATGTTGAGAAGGAAGGCGTGACTACAGAACACGCACTGTGTTGGGTGTTCCATCTGCAGTTTACAGTCTCCAGCTTCAGTTTATGTGCTCTGGTCAGACAAAGGAGCAGTGTCACTGAGAGCTCGGGCTTCTTGTCTGAGTCCCAGAACTAGTAAATCTTTGAACTCAGCTCTGCCTAACTTCAGAGCTTTCTAGTGTAGGCTGACAGAGATGGATGGTGAAGTAGGGGCTGGAAGGCTGAATGGGTGAGGGATAGGATGCCAGAATGTCATAGCCTGAAATGGTTCAGGCATGTCTAGCTGAGGCACACGTAGGGCAGTGAAAGTATCCAAAGGGAGATGTTTCACTATTGAATAAATGTAAGTTAAGACTGCTGGGCTCCAGATGGTACATCTCAGGGAGAGAATTTTCCAAAAATATATTAAGAAAATCACAGCAAGCTAATAAGGCCTCTGAGCACTTTCTAGTGCTAGTAAGTTTGTGTGTTGACACCCATCCCACAAAAGATTAGAAAAAATACCCAATATGATATAATTTCTTGACAATTGAAGTTCTCACTTCCAAGTATGGAGCCTTCCACCTTCTGTAACTTTATCCCTTGCCTTAGTTAGGCTTTAGTGCTGTAAATAGACACCAGGACCATGGCAGCTTTTATAAAGGAAAATATTTAATTGGGGCTGGCTTACAGTTCCAGAGGTTTAGTCCGTTATTGTTGTGGTGAGAAACATGGCAGCATGCAGGCAGACATGGTGCTGGAGAAGGAGCTTAGTGGTCTACATCTTGATCCACAAGCAGCAGGAGACTGTGAACAACACTAGGCATAGCTTGAGCATATGAGACCTCAAAGCCTGTCCTAGTAGTGACATACTTCCTCCAACAAGGCCACACCTCCTGATAGTACCACTCCCTATGGCCCATGCATTCAAACACATGAGTCTATGGGGAGCCATTTCTATTCACATCACCACATCCCCTTTGACTCTGTGAAGTCTTATTTTACTCAGTAAAACTGAAAACTGAAGTGTCTTCACCAAGCCCACATTTTGAAACACCTGCTAACAGGCAATGACCTTCTGTCAACAGGGAGCTGCCTCTGCAGAAGGGAGACATTGTTTACATCTACAAACAGATTGATCAGAACTGGTACGAAGGTGAACACCACGGACGGGTGGGAATCTTCCCACGCACCTACATTGAGGTACTGCAGCCTGCAGCTCCTTTCTCACAAAGAGCCCAGCCACAGCTAAGACACCATTTTCTCACCATGCCCTTGTGTTTTCTTCCCTTCCACTCCTCTCCTTGCCCTTCCTTTTTGCTGTCTTTCCATTCTCAGCTTCTTCCTCCAGCTGAGAAGGCTCAGCCCAAGAAGTTGGCGCCTGTGCAGGTTTTGGAATATGGAGAAGCCATTGCTAAGTTTAATTTTAATGGTGATACACAAGTAGAAATGTCCTTCCGAAAGGTAAGCTGCGTGTCTCATCCTGGCATTGGGGCCTTTGAATGGTGCTGTTATCTGGGGAATATAGTATTGTTATAGAGTGCCAATCTGTAGCCTTAAGAACACAGTGAATTGATCAAAATTTGTAATAAGGGGAATCAGAAGCTCTTCTGAGATGAGGTTTTATTTATTTTTATTTTACATATATGGGTGTTTTGCCTGCATGTGTACCACATAGGTGAAGTCCCTGTGAAGGCTAGAAGAGGCTGTTGGTTTCTCTAGAACTGGAGTTACACAGGGTTGAGAGCCACCATGTGGATTCTGAGAAAACCAAACCCAGGTCCTCTGGAGGAGCAGTCAGTGCTCTAAACTGCTGAGCCATCTCTCAGCCCCCATGTTTTTGTTTGTTTAGTTGGTTTTGTTTTTAAATATCAAGTCAGAGTTTAACCACACTGACCTCACCAATTCAAGCCAGTATTTATGGTATCTTAGACATCATATATTAAATGTGTTCAACCAACATTTAGTGATGAGCATTTTGTTGGTGATTTAACTTAGGTTTATAATATACATATGGACCAAGTGGGGAAAAGAAGGCCATTGGGACCAGGAGGAATTTTAAAGGCTCTGAAACCAAAAGTCATCAGATGTGCAATTTGTGTGAAGCTAAATACTTGATCTAAGCCTCCACTGCCTCATGCAAAAACTGAGAGGAGGCCTCTCTAGGATGCTGTGAGGAACCTGAAAGAAGCAGTACCTGTGAGATTGCAAGTGTGACTCGGGTCACCTGGTCAGTGCTCAGTCTGCAGGCAGGAGCAGGGCTGCCACTGTTGGTCTTGCTGCAGGGGAGCTCAGAATGCTGAATGTGAGCACGGTGACCTTGTGGATGGTTGGAGCAGGGGCAAGTTTCTTCTTCCCACTGATTCAGACATTCTCTGTATGTCATAACTGTCCAGCTTGCCAGAGTTATTAGAATTACTAATTTTATTGAGAATCCAGAGAAGTTAGCTCATGCCTTGTAAAAGAAAAAAACTAGAAATTTTCTAACTGCCCAATGACGGGAAATCTATGATTAAATTGTTATATATGTGGAAAGAGACTACCCTAGAGTGGTCAATTAAATTGTATAACATCTACAATTAAATTGTATATATCTAAATATGTATATATATATATATTATATACATAATTATGTGAGGTTTTGTTGAGAAACAGAGGTAGGAGGATAATAATGAGTTCAAGGGCATCCTGGCTACATAACAAGATTGTGTGTGTGTGTATGTTCCCCTTGATAAAGAAGGTTTACTCTATATCACTAAGTATCAAATAGTACATAGGACAAAGGTGCAGCAGCTTACCTGGTAAATTACTTAGCACACAAGTCTTAAGACTTGAGTTCAATCCCCAGAATTCACAAAAGTGCCTAAGTTGTCCTCTCACCTGCACACAGGTACTATTGCATGTATCCCCAAACATACACACAATAATAAATAAATAAATAGAATTTGAAAAAAATAGCATGTATGAAAGTCAAAATATGTGTACACAAGTTCCATAGAGGAAAACCAGGCAAGTCTAATTCATACACATAGAGGTAAATCTGGGAAGCACCTATGTCAAAGTGTTAACAGTTGTAATCCCCAAGGATAGCAAAATAGGGGACAATTATTTTCTACTTTTTGTTTACTCTTATTCTAACTTTTCAATAACAGCACATCAAGCTAAAGTATATAAAGGAAAATAAAGAGAACCTTCTGAGGGTCTGGTGACATGGGCAAAAGGCACTGCTAGCTGCCCAGAATGAGGACTGGGCTCCAGCAACTGTCCTCTAACCTCCACCTGCATGTTGTGCCCCCCAGCACTCCACAACCACACATAAAAAATTATATATAAAAGAGAGAGAGAACCTTCTGACCTGGTTGTGATGGCTCAGACCTGTAATCCTAGCACTCAGAAGGTTGCATTAAGAAGACTGTTAAGAGTTGAAGGCCAGGCGGAGCTACATAAGAGAGTGTGGTCCCTGTCTCAAACAAACAAAAAAGCCCAGCAAAGACTGTAGAGGTGGCTCAGAGATTCAGAGCACTTGCTGTTCTTGCAGAGGATGCAGGTTCGATTCTCAGCACCCACACCGTGTCTCACCACCATTCATAACTCCAGTTCCAGATGCTCTCTTCTGACTTCCACAGGCACCAGGCAAGCGCATGGTGCACTTACATACATGCAGATAAAATGTTCATACAAATAAAATTAGTTTTATAATGTAATGCTAAAGAACAACTCCAAACACAACTCTCCGAAGCCTTTGCCTTGCAGATGAAGACTGTATGTGTGACTGCTTTGTTCTAAAGGAGCCTAAGATACTACAGTTGCCTTCCTGCCTGAGGGCATACGTCTGAGCTCTTTACTGAAATGCCTAACTGCCTGGTTAAGGGAGTGCTACTGTGTTAGCATTTCCACCCAAGTACTTCATCCATGGCAAATAGAGATGGCTCTCCTGAGGACAGAGTGTGATGAAGGATGCAGGGTAGTGTAGGGTGCAGGCAGGGACCTCAGATAGGTTGTGGTGTGGTGGTTCAAGGACTCTTTCTTGGCTGTGTCTTACAGGGTGAGAGGATTACATTGCTCCGACAGGTAGATGAGAACTGGTACGAAGGGAGGATTCCTGGGACGTCCCGCCAAGGCATCTTCCCCATCACCTATGTGGATGTGCTTAAGAGGCCATTGGTGAAAAACCCGGTGGATTACATCGACCTGCCTTATTCTTCCTCCCCAAGTCGCAGTACCACTGCGAGCCCGCAGGTATCTAAGCTTACATCCTCAGCTCGGAGTTTTCATCTTACACAGCCCCCCTGGGGAAGACTCTCTGATGGCTCTAAAAAGGAACCGCCTTGATCAGGGCAGTGTAGGGATTATTTTCATACAAGCTTATGGCATTTCCTAGCACTCTGAGTATCTGAATGGAAGGGAAGAGTTTAAGATAATTACCGTGGGGGTGAGGCGAGAGGGGGAAAGAAACAAAAAACAAGTGATGTCATTTTGTGCATCCCTGTGAAGCTGGTGGTGTGGATGGCTGCCCCTGTATGGCCCAGCGTGTTTCTCTTTGCAATATTGTCCATCAGGATTGGCTTACAGATGAGAGGGGTTAGGAGGTAATTCCATGTTCTCATCCTAGACATGTAGACCAGATTCAGAGTACCTTTGCAAGCCTTCACTGGACCCAAGTTGATAAAGAAACTTACAATGTGTCAGTCTCTGAGGGTCAGTGTATATACTATATATATAACTATATAGTATAGTTATACTCACTCTGAGGGAGTGAGTAGTTTATAGCCTTAGTAGCATTTTTTTTCCTGAACATTAATTATGAGCATAGTTGGAAATGTAATCCTAAATGATGCCCACTTTGCCAAAACCAAGGGAAACGAGAACTCTGAGTTCAAGAGAAATACGGTAGGTAGGGTGGCATCCTGTGGAATGAAATCGGAGGATGGCTGAAAACTGTGGGACTCGGCGCTGCCATGGTGTCTCTTTTCTCTGGTCCTCTATCATTTCCTTCCCTCCCCATGCCGGTCACTGACACGACAGAGAGCCCTTGGCTTAAAGCACTAGAGGGGCTTTCCTAAACGGTGGGAAATGCATTCCTTCTCCCATGAGAAGCTGTGAGACTGGAACGGGCATTCTGCTCTGTAAGAGCGTGGGGAATTTTCACTCGACTGTGGCCAAGAGTAATTGTAATACAAAATGACCACACAATTCATGCTTCTATCTGTAGAACTCTGCAGAGCTGAAGAAGGGGCCTGGGCAGAGGCTGTCCCCCTAAGCCTGCAGTTCTGGGTCAGGGCTGTGGCTGCAGAAAAGGTGTAGTTGGCTGGGGTGGGGCACTTCCAGTGCTTTCCTCCGGAATGGGACTCTGCAAAGCAGGCCAGCACTCCCCACAACGGTCCCATCTCCCTGCCACTTGCCCCTCCTCTCTCCACCCTGCTTGCACACATTCATGTGCACACTCAGCCACGAGGAGGTTTCTCTCCCAGCCTCCCCATATTTCTGTTTTGGACACCGGGGTGTCCTGTTCATCCTCTCTATTTCATTCTTTATGCCGCTTGTGGTTCCTCCTTTCTCCTTTGTGCTGACACTTTTACCTTTGCTTCTTTCTTTTGTTTTCTCCTCTCTCCTTTTCTTTTCAAGTGGACTAGTCACAGCAAGCTCATCACGCCAGCCCCTTCATCACTGCCCCACTCCCGCCGAGCCCTGTCCCCAGAGATGCACGCCATCACCTCTGAGTGGATCTCGTTGACTGTTGGGGTCCCGGGCAGGCGTTCTCTGGCCATGACACCACCCTTGCCTCCTCTGCCTGAGGCTTCTGTGTATGGCACGGACCACTTGGCCTTGTCAGCAAGGGCCCACCCCTCCTTGCCACTCAGCCTCCCCTATTCAAGTCTGTCAGATCACTCCACATTGCGCTCAGTGGTTTCCCCACTGGCTCTGCCTCCACCCCACAGAGCCTCCTCCCTGGCACCCAGTACCCAGGTTCCTCTTCACGTCAATGGAGATGGTGGTATTCACACCCACCAAGATGGCTTCTCTCAGCCACCGCTTGGAAACTCTGATAGGGTCATCTCAGAGCTTAGTGATGCCTTTAGCAGCCAGAGCAAGAGACAGCCCTGGCGAGAAGATGGACCTTATGAGAGGAAAGCAGAGAGCGAGGCAGGTGAGAGATGCCCTGGTGGACCCAAGATCTCTAAGAAGAGCTGCTTGAAACCTTCAGACGTGGTCAGGTGCCTGAGTTCTGAGCAGAGACTCTCAGAGTTCCACACTCCTGGTGACAGCCAGTCCTTCAAGCCTCTGGGTAGCCCTATCCCAGCATGGGAAGCTGGGCCACCAGAGCTTCACAGAGGTGTCGAGGCTGACAGGAAGGCTGCTCAGAGTGGTGTAAGCCAGGTAGGCCTGAAGCATGACCGGTTGGTGCCTTGGCCTCTTGCTTGGCATGGTGGAACATACCAGATATCTCGCCCCTGGTTCATTAACTGAGGCCAAGGGGGTGCTTGAGAGATCTGTTTGCTTGCCTTAGAAATGAAGGGATGGCCAAGAGGGAGTGGAGGAGCTGTAGACTAGGGTATTGGCTGGGGATTATTCAGGAAAATGTATTCTAGCTTCTTGAGGTGATTTGAAAGTGTTTCTCCATTGATACCTGCTACCCTGGTACAGAAGCCCCATGAGCAGGAATGCCTTCCGTGTGTCTCATTCATGTCCTAGAGATTGTCGTTGGTTTGCTTTGACTAACACAGCTGAGAACACCAGGCTTCGGTGTGATGTGGTGTGCTTTTCTTGTGAGATGCACTGTTTCCATAACTCATGGTGCTCAGTTTTGTCAGGTCTGTGTCTCGTTTTGTGTTTGTGTGGGACTAAGGTGCCATGTTTACAGTGAGCAGAGACATTTTGGTTCTTCAGAGATGGGAGGATGCAGGATGGAGGGGCTTCTGATGTGCTGGGGTTACTGAGTAGGTATCCTAGGTTTTGAATGATGGTCCTTCTAAGTGAACTACAAAGATTTCAAGCATATAAGCCGAGAGAGACTTAGGGTGTTTTGAAGGGACATTAATTTGACAACTAGACAGATCATTATTCATTTTTGCCTTTGTTCTTTAGTGCCCAGAGAGTCAAGGACTTTGAACAACATTTCCATAGTAACTAGATTTGAGTATCAACTCCATCTAATTGCCATTATGGAAATTGTTCACCCTCTTAGAGACTCAGATTCTGACTTCTGAAATGAAGATAACCCCCCCCCCTCCTAGCACAGTCCAGAAAATTCCTTGAAATAATACGGGTGTTAAGCACAAGAAAGTTTGTGAAAAGAAGAGAGAACTACCGTCTTAGGTGATCTAAGATTGGGCATTATAGACCCTCAATAGAATTAAGTGCCGTCCTGAAGCTGTCTCCAGGCTGTCGATCGTATATAGTACCTACAGTCGACCGTGCTCCTCCTTCAGACCTTCAGTCCTGCTTCCCCTTGTAGCTCTGTTTGCTTTCTGAGCTCCTTGAATTGTATGGTTTATGGGTAGGGTCCAGAGGTGGTTAAAATTCCTTTCCTGTGGAGCCCATACCCAGTGACAGTGGCAGACATACTTCTGCCACCAGACCAGTAACGGGAACACAGAGACATAAGACATTCCAGGTCAGACCTCCACGTGCCGGTGTGTCTGGTGTGGAGATCACCAAGGGTAATCAAGTGTGTGCTAGCTTATCTGGACTGGGCTTAGACTTCAGAAAGTTAACACTGTACCCCCCACCCTGCCCCTGCCATAGTTGCTCGTGTATAAAGGGTAGAAGCAGACAGTCCATCCCTCCCTGAAAGGGCTGTTATGATGGTTAATAAAATAGTGGCCATCAGTAGAGTTCTTGGCATATGGTCAGTCTCTGTTGGACAAGGGTTTCCTGCTATGGCTGCTGTGCATGGCTGTCCCATCTCTTAGTAAGCACGGGGGTCTGGGACAGGTGTTCCTGAACTGTGTACCCTAAAGAAAAGTGTCTGTCTGATTCAGAGGAACAACTAGCTCACTGGAAGAGGTTATGAAGTCACTGGCTGTAAAGATTGAAATGTCAGATTGACAGAGGAGTGGGTCCCAGATCAACCTAAGGTGTGTGGAGCCCTCCTGGTTGCCAGGGGTGAGTCATCACTGCAACCCAGTCCAAGACTCAGTGTGTGCGGGAAGTGCGCACAGTCCTGCAGCACCAATAAGGTTCAGGGAGCACACTTCCTGCTTCCTACCAAGGACAGGAATGGAGTTGCCGGCAATACTAGAGATTGTGTTGATTGGAAGGCCAGGCTTGTTGAGGACTGGTTCTCCCTTCCTGGCAAGTCTCTGGACACCAGGTGTATCACTTCCTGCTCCCTCCCTTCCTCCTGCATTCCTGGCACAAGCCCTTTCCCTCTGGGTGTATGGGAGCCGTGGTCTGGTTGACTCCTTTTGAGAATAGAATTGATGGACTCGTGAAGGGCAGCCGTGTACACACGTTCTTTTCAGCCTCTCACTTCACGCAAGGAGGCTCTGGGGATGGGTCCTTCATAAGAGACTCCATCCTCTTGGGGCCTGTCTGGCTGACAGGGATGCTAAAGATGGAAAGGACTGACTTCATCATCTGTTCTGTGGTGGCCTTGTCAGGACATGACCTCAGGCTGTGTCACTTGTTTGGGTAAATACATTCCAATATCAAGAAACTTGCCAGCCGTTCTTCCCCGTGATGAGCCCTGGGTTCCGTTTGAACTTTTATTGGGCTAAGAGACTTGACTGAGCATCTGACCAGTAAACAGAGCGTTAAGTGAAAAGGCAATCCAAGGTGTTGTAGTCATTTACTCTTTCCTTAACTGTCTAGTATCCAGCAGTGTGCTAAGTGCCACGGGAGCCGAAGGCCTTGGACGTTACTACAGACATCCTCTCAGGGAAGTCTCTCTTCCCAGGCTTGGAAGGCTCACTAGGGAAATGACCGTTTAGACAACAGGGCAGCCTCATCTTCCAAAGTCTCCCCAGCTTTTGTGCCTGAATGTGTTCCTGCTTGTCCTTCTCAGCTTCCTATAGACCCTACCTTTCCTAGGAAGCCTTCCTGGCTACCTCTGCTCAACTGGCTAAAGAGCTCTGAGCCTTATCCCTGTGAGCGTGCCTTTGCTCAAATGCCCTTGCAGGCCTGTGTCCCTGTAGAGCATGAAGGCCCTACAGCCAGGGACCACGACACTTGATATAGGGAATGTGCTCAATTAATATTCATTAAATGAAAGAACAGATTAAAAAATAGTTGAGCAGAACTAGAAGAGTTTATGCTGTTGACTGTGGAGTCAGCCCTGCTCACAAGTACTTACACCGCAGAAGAGAGAGACGCAGACGGTCTATCCCCGAAGCCCGAGATGGAAGACATAGTAAGCGTAGGAGGAGCCAGGTGATTGTAAGTAGCATCGGTTGTGGGCTTTAAAGAATAGGGAGTTTTCCCATAGATACATTGGGATGGTGATTGATGGCCAAAGGCCCAGAGGTGGGAAAAACGAAGTATATATAAAGAAGGGTATGTTCCTAGATTCAGCAAGCTTTGCGTGTGCCTACAGATAGATCAGTGGGATCTTGCCAAGGAGACTGGGACCATAGCTTGGTCTACATCTGTCTATGCCTCCAGCAGTCACCATACTCTGAATCTCCCTTGCTGTCCCTTGTCCACTGCCAGTCAGTCCCTGCTCTGCTGCTTTCCTTCCCCTGGGTCACCTGCCCCCATCCCAACTGTCCGGATGTGTGAACTCTTGCGGAAGGTGCTCTGACGTCTTGGTCGTTTATACTGTCAGAATGGGCTGGCTACTTATGTTTTAGGTTTGTTGTCTCTGAACAACAGAAGGGATAAATCAGTGCCAGGGACTTCAGGGGAAGCAGGGAAGAGCATTGGTCTCCAGGCTCTGGTTCTGGCTCTGCCATCAGTCGGCTGAGTGTCTGTGGATGAGTCACATCTCCTTCCCGGCAACTTCCTTGTCCATAAACAAAAGATGCAGGCGTGGGAACTGAACTTCCTTTCAGCTGGTATTCTGTGATGGGATCCCAAGTGAATTTCAGTTGAAATGAGAAAGAACATAAAAAATGTTAAGTCCGGGCTTCATTATAGATCTGTAGAGCTTCACCACTGGGAAACACTTTGCTTTTATTGGTTTTTTGAGTGACAACTTTGTCGACTGGAAAAAACACACATAGATATACACAAAATACACAGCACCTCAGCCTTAACTGGCATGTTCTTGAATTTTGTTCGGCATAATTTTGGCTAATATCATGTAGAACAACTAGTCTAGAAAATCAAAGTGGAGGAAATCTCGGCCATCCCTACGCGAGAAGCAATTTGGTGACTGGAATCTGGATTTGTGTTTAAGAGTACTAGATGTTTGTGAAAAACCTCATCAAATCTCTGAATCAATCCTCACATCCCTGTGATCCCAGAACTCAGGAAGTAGAGGCAGGAGGATTACAGAAAAGAGAGTACCAACTTAGCTGGAGACTGAAAGATGTGCTATAGTAACCAATGGAAACTAAGTCAGTCCCTAGAAGGCTAAGAACAAAGGCAGGGGCCTGGCTGGAGAATGGAAATCAGAAATGGACGGGAAACTCGAGATGTAACTTGTACGATCAAAGGGCAGTTAGAAACATTAAGATCATGCTCTTTGCACACACACACCATACACACATTAAGATGTTCAAAGATGGGAAATGTTTTTCTTTGACTCACTCAGCCCGATAAGCTGAGTTTGAGCCCCAGGACCATGGGGTAGAAAAAGAAAACTGGCTCCCAACAGTTGCCCTCTTTCACATACACACCATGCAATCTTAATTTAAAAAAAAACAAAACAAAGAATTAGAAAACATGGGATTTGTACTTGGCACATTAATGTCTCTCTCTGTTCTCTTGTGTGGTGAAGGAAAAGGCATGAAGTGCCCTGGGAGTGCCTTCCAGTTCCTCACACCTGAGCCATACACCTGCCATCTCCCCTAACATGACAGAAATGGGGAAGGCAGACTGAGTTTGCCGTGGGAAGACTGAGTATTGCTGAGCCTTAGAAACATTAAAATTCCAATGAAGTCAGTGTGCTGCCCCATGGGTAGTCTGCAAGGAGATTGTCTAAGCTGTGAGGAGCCCAAATAATTGTCGATAGCTAGCTTTATAGTGAAATTACCATCTTTTTCTCGTTGGATGTTGTAGGAGAACTCCGTGAAGCCAGAAACCTCTTGGCTGGTTCTCTGGAGGTTTCCTGGGACAGAAACACAGGAGCTTGAGTCTTGCAGGCCTCCCCACTCCACTGACAGAGTTGCCCATGTTCCATGAGCAGTCAGTCTTGTATCGCATTCCTTGGTGAACACCTCACCTCCCGCATTTACAGACGTGAACTCTCCATCTATGTCTAGAGGCTGTGATCACCGCCTCCTTTGAGCATGCCAGTGCTGCCCATTCCTAATTATTAATTGATAAGATGGGCACTCCCCAATCACAGAGCTAGTGCCAAAAAGAACACTATGAATTATGCATAACCCTATTGTTTTATTTTGGAATTTGGAGTCTTTACTCAGAAGACGGTCAGTGTCTGGGAGCTCAGGTTGTTTACTGTCCCATTAGGAGACCAGGATAGGTTGTCATAATGTAGGATGGAATCTGAGGAGACACAGGGCACGATAGAGTGATGCCATCTCAGAGACTCAGGTCCAGTGGCTGCTCAACAGAACAGCAGATTCCTAATGTTCGTGTGGGGACCCAGGCCACACAGCGGATGCATGTCTCTCCCATCGATTCCTTCAGGGTTCTCTAGCATGTGGTTAGCTTATTTTGGACTTTCGCCTTTGGCACACCCGCAGAGCTGGAACAGGATGCTACGTAACTGCCCGAGCACCAGGTGCTTTCTGGGTCCAGAGGGGATTATCAGCTCCAGGGAAGCTAAGGTCAGGTTTCCGACAGACTACCAGCTAAAGACAGATTGCCAGCTAAAGCAGAGCAAGGCCACACACAACATTCGTGGGGAGAACGGAAAGAGCACCCTAGCTCTGAGGCAGCTTGTGGGAGTCCAGAGAAAGCAGTTTCTGGATCAGCAAACTAGTTCCTGCTTATGCTTGGTGGGGAGGTGAAGGGAGGGCAGTGTGTGCTTGCCTGAGTGTGTGCACACACACACCTTGCACATTGGACTGGTTGCTGTTTTTCCAAGCAGATGGAAAGCCGGAATGTGACTTCAGAATCCAAGATGTACATAGCATGAGCTAATGCTCTCTTTATTCTTAGCACCGGCTGGGGCCTGATGAGAACATGTATCTACTCTTAGGCTTAAGGAAGGTCAGACTGACGCCCTGAAGGAAGGCGCTGCCAGCAGAGGGAATGTGCAGCACATACGCAGTCGAAGATTTCCTAGCAGCTATCGTGAAACACAGTGAACGAGTTAGTTTTAATAGCGTATACCCTTTAACCCACATCATGAAACACAGTGACCGAGTTAGTTTTAATAGCGTATGCCCTTTAGCCCAGTATATTCAGAAGATTTTTGGAAGTCAGTGTCTACTTTTGCATCCGTAGCATTTTCCCTTCACTCTGTGTCTCTTGCACTCAGGGCCCCTGTGACTGTTGGTGCCTCACTGACAGCCCAGGCTGAGGAGGAACTGCAAAGCCGGCCAAGTATTAGACAGTGAGAGGTGGAACAGGAAAGGTACGACCTTGTACCTAGAGGGAAAAAAGGTCCTCTGAGGTAAACAGCTTTCTAAGTGAAGGGCTGATTCAGGTAATGGGTGTCAGTGGTTTCCAGCTCTGTTGGAGCGCCCTCTCTCACCAGAGGTGTACATTCCAGCTGTGTGAGATGCTTCCTTAAATCTAAACGGGGAAACCGAGACCTATCGTGTTTATCTTGACCACTTCCTTCATTTATCCAATATTAAGTGGGGAGCCCTGTCCTCCTTACCTCTCAGGAATGGGGTTGTCTCTACTCTCCGGATGTTAAAGCTCGGATAGTGACTATGCTCTGCTTCGGGTATGGGTAGAGACGAGAGGAACTGCTAACCAAGATACCTCTCATACCGTGGTTCCTTGGGTTACTGTCAGATGCTGTCTTTTATGGTGCCCAGACACATCTAGAATAGAGCATGCGGGAAGAGAGGTCAGTGTCCATTTTGAGAAGAGGTAGAATTTGGGTGTTGATAAGGTAATGTCAGCCTTCTCAGCCTGAATGAGGGGGTGGCATGTGAGTCATAGAGGGGCTCAGCTCATGTTCACAGCCTCTGTATAAGGCCCCAGTCTTTACTGGGTTATAAAATTCCCTCCTCTGCCCTCTCCTAGTCAAAAGTTAGTAAAGGTATGAAGTGAGGTGTGAGCCATTGGACCTTCATGTGTTTATAAAAGAGCAGCTCCATTCGCATTCGGTTCACAGATCCTCGTTGGAGCAGCACTGTTGGCCAGGTGATTGATTCCAGCTACAGCTTTGGGACTGGGTTGACCGAAAGATGCTAGGGGCTTTTCTAAGCTGTGGCCACCATCCCAAGAGTTGTCTACGTCTGGCTTGAGGTTATCAGGTCACTAACAGGAGTTTGGACTTTTGGTTTTAATGAGAACTTTTGTTTTTCGTGAGGTGTGACCTAGACCAGTCTTGTCACACTGAGGCCAGAGAATCTCACCTGAGATTCTCTGCAACTTTGCTTTGCAAAGTCAGGCTGAGAACCAGAACAATCAGCACCAGCAGCTAGCAGTGGCCAGTGCCTGGCACAGCCCAGATAACAAAGTCAGAGTCTGTGCTTCAGTAGGGTCTTGGGAGAAACCAACATCCAGCAGGATTTTAGGCAAACTGTTCATCAGCACCCTGACTAGCTCATGGAGACGATTCCACCATCTCTCAGACAGTCATTTCTGTGGTTGGACGGCACTTGCTTGAAAAACCTGTCCCTTCTGTCAAGTCACAATCTATCAGTATCCCCCACACAAGGCGCCCAGAGTTAGCGTTACTGTTCTGAATGCCCACATAGCAAGTGTTTGGAAATGTCCATTCCTTTCCTGTGACCTGGAGGAAGCCTTGGCACAGAGGCAGGGGGATGGTGAGTGAAGCACAAAGTCGACTCCGGCCCCTGGCAAAGGCCAGCAGTCCTGAGACATCAAAGGAGTAGCATAATGGGCCCTGCAGTTTTGTCTGCCCTTTCCCTGCTGCCGGAGTAGAGTCCAAGGGGGAGGTTTGAATGGTTGAGGCTAGGAAGGGTTTTAGAGAAGTTGAAGAGCTTCTCAAAACAAACATGGGGGGCTAGAGAGATGACTCAGCAGTTAAGAACACTGACTGCTCTTCCAAAGGACCTTGACTCAGTTGCCATCACTCAGATCACGGCTAACAGCTGTCTCTAACTCCAGTTCCAAGGAAATCTGATGACCTTTTCTGGCTACCATGTCTATCGAATGTACATGGTAAACAGACAGACATGCAGGCAAAACAACCATACATATGCCATAAAAATAAATAAGGCTAAAAAAATAAACCTAACGCTAAAACAAACAACACCAAGTGTAAGAGAGTGGTGCCTGCCATAGCTGTTGCTCTGCTGGGCACGCTGCAGGGTGCAGACATCTACGGCGGAGATGAGCAAGAGGGGCAGCTAAGCAGTTCACCTCTCCCCAGCTGCCCTACTCCTTTCTGGGCATGCTTTTCTAGAGAGCGGTGTGGTTAGCACACCCTGCCTGTCTCCTGGTTTGGGGGTGCAGTCACGGGTGATTATGTCATTTGGCACACCTGAGAAGGATAAGGGGAGCATGGTGGTGTGAAGGCGGAAGAGGTCAGGCAGGGGAGAGGCCGGGACCAGGAAACCGCTGCACAGCCCATGTGACCCCACTGTCTCTCTGAAGCGAGTGTGTGCTGCACAGAAGATTTCTGAGTGCCCTTCTGAAAGATTGTGGGGCTGCAGTCAGCTGTTGCGGCTATTAAACGTTACCTGGAGGGCATCTCCAGAGGTGGACTTCCAAGTGTCTATCCAGAGAGACTTCCTAGAGCTTAGAATTGAACCCTCTCTGGAGAAAGTGTTCCCAAACTCTCTTCCAACAGAGACTTGACCTCCTTGTGAGAGCCCAGCTTCAAAGAAAGGTCTGCATGGCCTCAATTCCATAGCAACACATGTCACCTGGACTGGTGATAATGACACGTTGCTCTGCGTCTAGAAACAAGCTGGAGCTCATTCCATAGCTCTCCTGACTGTGTCATGTGCAGATTCTTTGGAGGCATATGATCTTGTCTGAGACTTCATCTGTTACGCAGGGATATCTCAGTAGCGCTGTAGTCCTTGTGAATGCCCAATGTGGGTCCCGATGGTTCCCTCACGGTCCTGACCATTGTCTCCCCATCAACCAAAATCCGAATCCACCTTTGACACCGCAGCCCCTCCCTGGAAACGTGTTCACTAAGATCAAAGGGTTTGAAGTGGCGGGGGCAGCAGGTCTGTTCTTAAAGGCAGCCCTTCTCAGTGTCTCTCCTGCCAGTCTGAGGACCCTGTGTTGTCCTTCTCACCTCATGTGTCCCATTTCCCATCTCATTGCCGGATGCTTGCTTCTAACTCTGTACATCTGCATTTTCTCCTGTGCATCTGCCACGTTGTCATGGAAACTCAGTGGCCACGGGCCACAAATACCCGGTGTCATCTGAATGTGGTGGTGTGGTACGTGTATTTGCTCACGCTTTTATTTTGAATCCTTTCCAATGTGACATCTGCTAAAATGTCTCCCTTATGATTTGCTTGGTGATCACAGCCTTCTCATCATTCATTGAGCGCAGGACCTGATCTCACAGAATCTGAAAAGAACTATGTGGTAAGATGCCTGTTGAATAAGACTGTGGCTTTCCTAAAGAGAACCCTTACTGACTGCAGCGTGTAGACCAGAGTAACTGCCTGGTAAACATCCCGCTGTGGTTTTCAAGAGCCCACGACTGATGTAGTAGAGCCAGGGATTCGGCCACCCTCTACGCCTCTAAAAGAGTGGAGGAATTTAGAGACAGTTGCACTCTGCCTGCAGGTGGGATTCAGTAATGTGCTAGTGCATGACTGGGGGAGTCATTCCTGTATTTCTAGCCCGAGATTATTCCAGCTGTAGCAGTTACTCACTAATTCCAGGCTTTTGTGCTGCTGTTCCCTAGAAACAGTCATACTAAATGCCGAATTCCTCTGTCTTACCTGTCTTTCCATGCTTACCTGGATCCCTCCTGCACTCCACTACTGGAATCTCTGTTGTTGTTTTTTTTAACCTGGATCTTCAACTCTGTTTTTCTCCCTGGACTTACGTGCTTCGTCTGGAATGTCACATCTCTTCCTTTCTCTCTTTTTTTTTTTTTTTTGTGTCCCCACATTGACTGTTTTATGGGGGTTTCTGGATATCGCGGGGCCACCTCACAGGAAGCGGTTTGCAATGAGATCATAAACATTGCCGAGAAATCTGTCCATTACTGCAGCACTGTCTCTCACCCCCTTGACTTCCGTCACAAGGTCCCCCCCTCTGACAGTAAATCATCTTTAATCGTTTCTCAGCAACCTCAAGCCCAGCAGCGGAGAGTCACCCCAGACAGGAGTCAGCCCTCACAGGATTTGTAAGTAGTCTGAGAACTTCGGTTCTTATGTTGTTGGACTCTCTGCTTTGGAAAATGATTGGCTAACTCCGTAGCAGCTGTTTGGGGGAAATGAGCTAATTGCTTCCCGCCTCTTTGGGGTTTTCTAGGGAAGGCTATATTTCCTGTCAGCCAATGAAGACAGGTGGTAGGTGAATGAAAGAGGTCGTGAGCAACTCGGAGAGAGATGGGTAAAGAATTAATGACCATGCTGGGCGGTGGTGGCGCACGCCTTTAATCCCAGCACTGGGGAGGCAGAAGCAGGTGAATCTCTGTGAGTTTGAGGCCAGCCTGGTCTACAAGAGCTAGTTCCAGGACAGGTTCCAAAGCTACATAGAAACCCTGTCTCATAAAACATAAAAAAAAAAGAAAAGAAATAATGACCATACAAGGGGAAATGAGAGTTGTGCTAATGAGTTTCAATATCAGTGCTATGGAGAGCAAAGAAAAAGGAACAGTTAATTCTGAGCTGAAATGAATTAACAGTGTTGATTTATTTACTCATTCATCCAAAATAAATAGTGGATCCATCCCATGGTTTATACACATGGGAGAAAATTCTGTCCATAGAAGATGAAAAGTGGTTTGAGTCCAGCTCTGAGTCAAAGGCAGGGAGTAGGTTGTGTTGGGAGCCTGAAGAAGGCCCGTGTGACTAGCAGAGGGTTCATGGAGGTGAGGACAGAGATGAAAGTTAGGATGTTGGGGTGGGACCAGATTCTAGACTGCAGCTGAAATCGGTTTGGATTTTCTTCTCCAGACACCAGGAAGCCGCTAAAGGTTTCAAAGTGAGGCGTGTATTGATCATGTTTATTCTAGGGAGGTAACTCTGGCAACAGAAGGAGAATGGGATTCAGAAATAAGGGACAAGTATGTTGGTTAGGAAATATGAAGTTGGTCATGGTCTTAGCTAGAACAGAATGAGCTTTTGGTAACCTTGGAAATATATAAGATTACCAACCGAGAGCCTGGGTAAAGAGTGATCGACGGTGACGGAGAACAAGAAAGGGCAGCGGGTACAGGCACAGGCTCAGGAATGCTCCCTGTCATAGGACAGAGCCCATAGCCTGGTCAGCCATGCTGCCCACCTCTGCGAGACCAGGAGTAAAAATGAGAAGGCTCACCTGGCATTCCCTCTGGCAGCTGGACAAATGACTAGCGACTGTAACAATAGTGAATGTTCCATTAGAAAGAGGAAGTTTGGCGATGCATGGGATGGGGTGGGGGACTGGAGATCAAGGGACACTGGAGACAGGGCAGAGTCTTAGGCATGTTTGTGCCAAAGAAATAGGTGAGAAAATTGAAAGATACAAGTTAGAAGCTGTAAGTGGAAGAAGAGGGTTCAGCATGGCCAGGAGACAGCGTACTTGCACACGGTAACAGGGGCAGGACAGCAAGAAGGGACAGACTCTGGTCTGGCAGGGAAGAAGTCAGCAAGTTTCCATCTTGGAGAGTGGGGACAAGAATGTGAAGCACTCTGTTGAGAGTAGGGTGCCGGAACCAGCAGAGAATCTCAGCCAGAGGGTTTCTGAGCTGCTGGGAACACTAGGGCTAAGTGGGACCAAGGCCACAAGGGTACAGATTTTCTCCAGTCTGTCTCCATCATTTGCTTACAAACAAGCAGAATTATTTTCCAGAACATGGACTAACAAAGTAGCCGTGGTGGAAATTCAGGGGACGGTCAGTGTAAGATGTTAGTGCAGGTATGCATTAAACAGCTAGCTGTAGGAATCCAGGTTAGGTAGGAAATAAAGACAGAAACGTGAGAAAAGGTATTCACTTACCCACTGGAGATCTGCCCCCATCGTTTAATTCCTCTCCAGAGACCTTTGCTCTGGCAGCCGTGTCCTTCCACTGTAGTCTCAACAGCCAGGGAAGGGTCGTGGAAACAGGTGTTCTAGGATGTGTCACTCAGCGCAAGCCTCTCGGTTCTGGAAGACATTGCCGCGGGCTTGTTTCTAGTTGCTCTTACCCCACATTGGAACTCACTGACATTACTGGAAATGGCGTTAGACGGGCTCGTTTACAAGATTCTGGTGCTGCTGTGGCATTTGTGCCTATGAGAGTCCCTGGAAGCAGTTGCTGGGGGAATGAGTGAGAACAAAGCCGGCCCTGGATGCTGAGGCTGATGTCAGTTTCACAACAAGCTTCACTGTTGTCAGGACACAGAGCAGTGCATGCCAGATGTCCTAGGCCAAAGAGCAAGTCAATAAAAACCTTATCTGCAGCTCTCGTTGGGGTGGAGCAGAATTAGAAAGCTTTCGGAGTCTCCTGAAAAGGAGCCCTACAGTTTGAAACTCTCAAGAAAGTTTCGTTAAACAGCGTGACAATGGGAATGTGCTATATTATTGTTGTTGTTGTTGTTGTTGTTATTTTGTTTTTAAGACAAAGTCTCACTCTGTAGGCCAGGAGCTCAGCATGCAGGACAGAGTGTGCATGGACTCAATGACAGTCTTCCTGCCCCAACCTCCTGCATGCTCAGATCACAGACATGAGCCATTCAAAACATTTTCCCACCTGCCTATGTCTGCTACCTGGTTTTACAATTCCCTTTTGTTCTCTAATGTATATGGCCAGAATGTAATGCTCATGGAGCTAAATAACTGTCAATTATTCTTAATAATTTACCTATATTGTCCTATTATCAAAAAGGGTGTGGTTAACTTTAAAGGCAGTAAAGTGGACAGAGAGGGGTGAAGACAATAAAGGTCTGCCATTGTGATGAAAGAAAACTAAGGTTAACGATCAATCATTCACGATATTCAATAACTCCCCGTCCTTGTCAGTCTTAATTTTTCAAGAGCTAGAGAAATAATCAGTACAATGTTTTTATCATCCGACGGGAAACATTATGTAAATATTGGGGTCACAGTACTGGCATTTATAGATGGTCATTAAATCCTGCCAGCAACCAAGCCCCTCACTGGTCCTTTTCCTGATTTGTCGATGTAGCTACCAAGCACTTTATAGCTATGTGCCGCAGAACGATGATGAGTTGGAGCTCCGAGATGGAGATATTGTTGACGTCATGGAAAAATGCGACGACGGATGGTTTGTTGGTAAGAACCCACCATTCTTTTTTCCTAGTGGTGTATAGAGGGAAGGGCAAGAGATGGTGGGACATGCCAAAAGCAGTCCTCTTTGCACAGAGAGCAATCTCTCAGCGCCTGCAGGAATGCTGGGCCTCTCATTCTCAGGGCAGTGTGAATGTTACTGAGTGGAACCTAAAGCCCAGCTAGGCCGGTGTCTGTGACACAGGCTGCAGGGGTCAAATTCATCATTGCTATTAATTGGGTTCAGTTTGTATTTCTATTGTGTATACGTTTAACATTCACTGACTGTATTTTTAAAGCTCTTAAGAAACAACACAAGAAACATCTGACTTAGACTAGGTCTCCACCATGAAGTTCAAGCACATGTGTAAATGTTCCCAACACCCTTTTATTTACTCTAGGCTTTTAATAACTTGAACAAAAACAATCAACTCAGATAATAGAGGGCATAAAACTCAGTCCCGGATTTGTTCCCTAGTACCACAGACTACAGATAGAGAGAGAGAGAGAGAGAGAGAGAGAGAGAGAGAGAGAGAGAGAGAGAGAGAAGGAGGGAGGGAGAGGGAAGGGGAGTGAGGAAGAGAGGGAGGTGAGAGGGGGAGGGAGGAATTGAGGGAGAGGGAGAGAGAGAGAGAGAGAGGACAATGCAATATCTACCTTTTCAGGAAAGGGAGAGAAAGGCCAACATCCATAGAGATTCCGCTGCAGACCCAGAGTGCTTGCTCCGTTTTCACTGCCTTCTCTCATAAGGATCCCTGTAAGACAAAAATTAGCCTCTCTTGACAAATTCAAAAAGTGAGGGGCAGTGGCATTTAATAAGTCTTCCAAGGTCTCTCTGATAGGAAATGCCAGACTTCCCAGCATGCATCCTCTCTGTTGGGCCGTCAGTACAGCGGGAGCCACTGGTTCACTCTGGGCCTCAGTCTCCTCCTTTCCAACACCTGCCCTTGTCTGACTCTCCGGAAGAAGCTTCCTAAAGCAGTGTTGGGACTGGAGTGGTCAGAACACGAAGCTTCAGGAAGACAGGTTGGAGGACAGGGAGCCACCCCCTAGAGAAGGCTCTGTCCTCCCAGAAGTCAGGCTTCTTATCAGTTAGCCAGAGACATATTACAGTTTCACAGTAGCAGCAGGCATGCCAAGTGTAAAATTTAAAGTTTTAGAGGGGTCACACTGTAAAAATAAAGAGGAACACATAAAATTAGTTCTGATGTTTTATGAGCCTGAAGTATTCAGATATTATCTTTTGAATACATTAACAATGTTAGTGGTATATTTTATATTGTTTTCATTCTAAGTTCTTGGAAGCACAATTTTTAGTTATTGTATGTGGATGTCCTACTAAAGAGTGAGGCTGAGGCAGGAGAATGTCATATTCTAGGCAAGTTTGAGCTGTACCACAAGACTGTGTCTCCAAAAGTGAGTGGCGGGGGCGGGAGGGGGGTTGAGAGAAGGAGGGAGAGGTTGAGAATGGTGTTGCTGTTAAGTTCCTCTAGGAGTGCTTCCATTTCCAACCCAAAGGGAAGGGACACCAGTTCTCCCATGAAGGCAGGCACCCTGGTTGACATTAGGATGAATATCTTCCTTGCACAGCTGAGTACACATTTAGCAGTCCAGCATTTCTAGTCGGTGAGGACAGAGTGCTGAGAAGACCAGTGGGGCTGGGCATCAGTAGACCTGGGTTCAGATTCGGCCTCCAACATTGGTGAAGCTCAGGGACCTGAGAAGTATTACTTAAACTCTGGGTCCCTCCGTCTGAAACGTGTATGATCTTGCCCTTTCTCCCCACCCTGCTTCCTCATTTTGTAGCCCAAACGATGTAGCTATGGAAACCACTGTGTGGGATTGTTACCCAGGGACCGTGCAGAATCTCCAGAATTCTCTGTGCACTCAGCGTGTCTTCTCATTTGGCGTCTGTTTTTGTTTGCTTGTTATGTTTCTTGCAGGCACTTCAAGAAGGACGAGGCAGTTTGGTACTTTTCCGGGCAACTATGTAAAACCTTTATATCTGTAAGAAGACTGAAAAATCACAGAGATTATTTTTCTCGGAGGATGAAGCATCATTCATGAACTGGTCTCTTTATTTAAATATTGAGTCAGTAGGAAATTTACTGCAGTTGGTAAAGAATTCAAGGAGAGGAACAAAGAACTGTGTTAAAACCCGCTGTGTATCAGGGCTTGACTGTATGTTGAGGAAACTGGTATTTACGTGGCTGCTTCTGGGAGCTGCTCCAGCCCCCACTGTTCGGGTAATCCGATCTGGAGTTGTGTCCATGGGCAGCGTTAGCCAAAACTGTGCTCAGTCTTTACCCACTCCCATTTCCAAGGGGCCCCCTGGGGCAGATAGCTCAATTCCTTAGCCATGTCCCACAGGCCCAGCCTGAACATCACCAACCATCCCGCCTCTATCCCTGGCTGTTCCAGAGCTAGTAGAGCCCCAGTGCTGCTGGAAGCCAATCTGGGTTGCTGAGGTTCTCCTTCAGCACCATGACTTGATGAGGTCTAGGTAAAGAAATGGAGGCAGACCTGGTGCCCTGGCATTCAGTCAGCTGGGTGACATTGCTCTGGACTGCTCTGATATTCAGACAGAAAGCATGCCATATTTGTCCTGAGCTTGGGAGCAGGTGGCCAGACAGATGGGTTACATTTGTGTTTCCACGTGACTGAGGCAGTTACCTTGGGGCTTTGGAGGTCACTTGGAGTATACTCCTTTCCTGGTCACCATCAGTGGCTGGGCAGGGTGGGATGTGCCTTTCTTCTCTGGCTTAGTATGAGCTCGATACCCCTGAGCCCACAGAATACAGACTGAGCTCTAGTTTTCTTAGCATGTGTAGGTGCAAGATGGCTGCTGGGCCACCATGGTAAGGCACCCTCAGACCTGGGAGGGATCCCAGTATTGCCCATGGAGGGGTTCAAAGGCCGCTTGGAATGCTGTCTCTCCCAACCCTTGTCCCCCTCCTCCACAACACCCCAGGCCAGGGAGTTCTGATGCACATGGGTAAATGTCCATTCAGAGCCGAGGAGTCATACACTGTCTGGGTATGAAGCTGCAGTTCCGCTCCTTCTGATGGCCACCAGGAGTCTGTCCTCTGTGGGTCCTGGCCGTGAAGAGGGGACCCCTTTGACACCTGGGTGCTGTCACCACACTAATTGTTAGATCCCTAATTGACACAAAGCTAGGTATGGCCTGTTCCCAGAGCTCTACTTGCCAGGGGTTCAGCTGAGCGGACGACATAGGAAAAGGAGCCCAATCTAGAGAGACTGTGCTACGTGCAGAGGGTGTGAGAAGGGATGAGTTTCTCCTGGGGTGGGTACCCTAGAAAACATTGCCAGGTTTGCATCTCCCTCAGCTCACTGAGGATGCTGGGAGAACCTTTGTCTGAGGGTATTTATGTCTGGGAATACTTGGAATTTCCCCCCAGACTCTCAGCTTCGTATTCTACCCACAAATACATGGACAAGGTCACAGATAGCAGGAATTGTAGGTGATAGGGGTATATGCTGGAACCCCTGGCTCTCTGCATGTAGTTGAGAATCATGCTAACCACTGTCCCAAAGTCCGGAGTCTTTACAAGTCAGAAACATTTGTTTTCAGTGGCTGCCTCTACAGCTGCCCCAGATAGCCTAGAATCTCACTCGCTCCCCCCTCCCACCCATCAGCCACAGTTCTCCAAAGAGGCTCTCAGGAAAGACACTGCCACTGATTGATTCACACTGAAATATAGGATAGGAGGAATGTGTTGCCTCCTTCAGGGGGCGTTGTTTTCACTGACAGAGCAGAGCTTTTAATCCCAAGGGAGAAGGGTGTGGAACTGAGAGGGTAGAAGCTTCCTGGGCACAAAAGCCCTGGTGACTCTATGACCTTTTGCTTTGGAAGCTTTGCTTCACTGGCCGGTAGCACTGCTTTCTTTTTTTCCTTTGCCCCTCTCAAGGGAATATAGCAAAAAAAAAATGTAATAATAATAAAATAAAATAAATAAATGTATATGTGCATTTTTTAACCCATTTGGAATGTAGTCCTTGCTCACTCCTAGATGCCAATCATGAATAGTGCAATTGTATCTAAATTTCCTGAGGGGTGCTTTTTGGTTAAGTAGGTAACTTCAAACACCTCCTTAAATACAGCTAGAAAAAAAAAAACCATTTTGTAAAAGCCACATATGCACCCAATGCCAGCGTCACACAGATGATCTCCCGAAATCCAGGTATGCCCACCTTTAATAAAAATCGTTCCAGCTTCCTATGAATGAAAAAAATGAAAAGAGCGAAGGTTTCCAATTAATACTTTGTCTTCAGACATTTAGTAATATAAAGTACCTATTTTTATGCTGAAATGTTTATACAGGTTTACTAACAGCAAGCGCAGCTAACTGGCGGCATGCCTCACAACACGGTTTTGATATATTAGCCATGCTTCCAGGTAAATGCACGCCCTAAATTATTCACCTTTTGCAGTCTCTCTGGGATCAGTAAAAGAAAAAACATCATGTTTGAGAAGTGGGACTGTAAATATGTAATGTATATTTAACTTTGTGTAGCCCATGTACCTACCTTGTATAGAAAATAATTTTTAAAACTTGAGCAGAAATGGAGTAAAATAAGGAAGTCTTGAAGGGTTGTTTTTTTCCCACTTTTATTTAAATGAAGGAATTTCAAATAATTCACCTGCAGACTTTTAGCACAAAAATAGTTGTTGGAAATTATTAACATATAAAATTGTTCTTTGGGGAAAAGACGACAACTATAATATCATTTACAGTTTTCATTTTGCAGTTCTGTTCATCTGCAGTAGTATTAAATCCTATTGCTGGAAAAGGTTACTTCCAAGAAAGAAGATTATATTCAGAAAAAAATAACTGACATATGTAGCCTACTAAGGTATTGCATCTAAATTCCACACCAAGCGCATGTACTATGCAGACACAGATTTTTCTGTTCATTTATTTTTCTTTATTGCAGTGGATTGATTTGATAGACATGTTGAATTACTACTTTGCTGTACATATTATTTAATAAACTTTATTCAGAATTACGTGGCACCTTTGTGTTTTTGTCCTTCCTTGGTTCTTTCTTCCTGAGAGGGAGGCCCCACTGCTGCTTCAGATTCTCGTGCCCGCCTCTCCGTTCTTAATCCCCGACCGCCAGATTTCTTCTCCTCCCCCTATTTTTTCTCTGTAGCTTAACTCTGATCATCGATACATTGATAAAAGTACACTATTTGTTCTGATAACAAAAATAATGACTCTGTGTCTTAAGTGAAACCTTATGAAATATATATGTCTCGGTTTGCTCCTCAAAACATGGGCAAACGTGCCGTTTAGTTTTCCACTCTCAAGTGTGGCTGTGACTCTTCCGCTGTGCTGAGTTGCTTGGCTTCTCTCCCCACATCAAGTATATGAAAACACTCAACCCTATCCAAGTCTCCTTCCCTCTTCTGCGACCACCCCTGCAGCCACTCCACTCCATGACTGTGAGCTGCCACCTCACTCAGGCAGCGTTCACCCAGCCCTCCTCTCTCTTGCCCTGTCCTCTGCCTTCTCGAAGTAGTAGTTTGCGACTGCTAGACAGTGAGGTGGGACCTCAGACAGGTCAGGAGAGGGTTGCTTTCTGGTATCTGCTGGTCTCCAGCCCGGTCCACTTTCACAGGCACTGCTGACCTTTCTCTTGTACCTCTGTCCGTCTCTCCCAACTCCATTTGGAGCCTGGCCACTTTTACTTTTGTAACCGAGCCGTATTCTCTTGCCCAGACCATTGCAGTAACTGTAGCTGGCCTGCTGGTTTCTCCCTTGCCTCCTGTCCCCCAGCCATGGCAGGACAGCCAAAGCCTTCATTGTGAGATTGCCCGTATACTCTTGGTTGTGGACTGAATCCATAAGCACTACCCTTACCTCACCGTAGTGACCCACAATCCTATCTGCTGATTTCTGGTGACTTGTTCTCACCTGTATCCCTAAGGTCAGCACTCCGAGAGCATCATGCTCGCCACGCCTTGTGCTTAGAAGATCCTTTCCCCGAAAGCTGTTGACTTCCTCTCTTTCTTTGGGCCTTCGTTTTGTTCTGCTTAAGGTTTCCCCTGGTCACCTTATATAGGATGGAAACAGTTGTCCTCACTCAAGCATTCTGTCCTCTTTTCATTGATGAATGTAGGTTCGTTTCTCCTTACATGCTAAACATACATGACTTCCTATAGTCTTAGGATTTTCCTGTAATAGAGCTTGCGCATAGCTCCAAAAGATGTGCATCCAGTTCTCTGTTGTTGATACACGTGTGAGATTCTTGCCAGCTTTTTACCACAGTGAAAGAACGATGCTGTTTGGAGCAGAGCTATTGACTCTGAAAAGAAACATTTCACACCTTTGGAGAATGTCAAGTTCCCTTTCTGAGGTACCAACTTCTACTCCTGCCAAGTCCAAGAGAGTGTGTTTCCCACCTTCCAATTAAAACCGCAGCCAGCCTCCCTGAAGGGCTGTTGTTTTGGCCAGCAGCTTCTCAACACTCTGAGATCTTCACTGTTTCTCATCCCTTGGTTGCTTTCTCTCAGCATGTGCTGCCCAAGGGACTGATTCTTCACAGTACAAGTATGAGCCAGAGAGTCACTATGAAGGCCCTTTTAGTGAGAAACCCAACACTATTGGCATGTGTGGAGACATACCAAAAAGAGTTCAAAGTAGCCTCAGGCAGGAGTGGATCCAGGAACTCAAACTTTCTCTGCTGTATGTATCTTATTTTTGGCTCTCTGGTCTTGTTTGACTGCATTTTCTACTACTGAGAACAGCTATGGGGTGCAGGGAATGTCATTTTTAGTTTTCTGACTCTAGATGAAAAGGCGCTTCTGTCTGGCTCCCCCTGAGAAAATAATTCCAGACTCTTTGGTAGATTCCTCCTGGATTTTATTTTGGTACCTGGTGCCATCCCCTGGTCCAACCACTGATGTTTAGTGTATGTGTGTGTGTGTGTGTGCGTGTGTGTGTGGGGGGGTGGGTATGTGTATAAAGATCATCCACAGCTTGCACATCCCTGAGACTTCAGCCTGAGATTGCATCCTTACAAAGACCCCATCCTGAGATTAGCTCAACAGACTCCTGAATTGTGCTGTATAAAACACATACACCAAGTTCCAGGCTACTTCTGGTGCATCTCCATTAGTGCACATGGCCCACCCAATCCCAGCTTTTCTGTATGTGTGTCTGTCAGTTCTTTATTCTCAGTCACCCCACGTAGGTCAGTCCCTAAGTCATGGAGTTCATGGCATCTAGCCTTGGAGAATTATTCAGCAAGTTTTGGAAAGAAACACCACTATCTTGTTCCAGTGAGAATTCCAGTGTGGCTGAGTGGAAACAATATACTGAAGCTCTTTGATCCAGACCTTGGAAGGAACCCAGTGGAGGATGACTTCTGCCCAGTAGATGAAGTCAGTGTGACCATGAAGGCACAGCGGAAAGTATATCACATACTAAAAGTGAAAGAATTCTCCAGAAGGAAGAAGAAATGTTTGGATGAGCTAGAAATGGGTTTATTTGTCAAGTCTTAGCATGTAGAAGTCAGTGATTTCAGGACTATGAAAGAGTAACTACTTGATTCAGGTTATTTGCTAAATGAATTAGTGAGAAAATGGTTTGGATTTAAAGAAGTTCTACACTCTAAGCTGTACACTGTTGTCCTAGCAAACTACTTCCCAAATAACCGTCTCAGAGATTTAATATTAATTATAAATGCTCAGGCTTGTTACTGACTAGCTCTTACAACTTAACCCATTTCTATTAATCTTTGTGCTGCCCTGAGGTTTATGACTTTTACCTCTATCTCATTTTGTGTGTCCTACTTATTCTCTGTCTAGCTGGTGACTTCTCTCTCTGCCCTTCTTCCCAGCATTCTCCTTGTCTGGCTCTCCTGCACAGTTTCTTTCTGTCCAGCTATTGGCCAGTTAGCTTCTTTATTAAACCAATCACAGTGACATATTCATATAGTGTAAAGGAATATTCCACAGCCCTACATTGTGAGTATTTTTACTTATATGCCCATGCATATGATAAAGTTTAATTTATAAGTTAGGTATAGTGAGTAAGTAAATAATAGTGGCTAACACAAACAGAACAATTACAGGCAGGAAAATTCAAGGCTAGTTTTTGCTACATAGCAGTACCCCATGTCAAAAATAAAGTTATGTGAGTGTGGTCTCAGAATAACCAAAAGTGACTGAAACAGTGGGAAGGGAAACCACAGATAACAGGATGGCTGCTATATTCAGGTTTTAGAAGAAACTGATAGAAGCAAAAAGGATACGCAGATCTGAGTGGCCACACAGGCCCTGGTGAGTCTGTCCTCACGCACATCTTCTTTTATGAGATCCTGGCTCTGGCATCATCAGGCCCAAAAGAGTGAGTAGGTGAAGATAGTCTGGTCCCTGGTGACTTGTCTCTAAAGAGATCTGACAGGCAGAAGTGCAGAAGGGAGGTAGGTCCATGAATCAGCTCCAAATGGCGGTGTAAATTGTGTGCCTTGGTGACCTTGAAGCAAGATCCGTGGTCCCCTTAGGCCCTTGACTTAGCTTCATTTCCTATCCCTGTGATAAGACATACTGACAGAAGCAACTTGCAGAGGAAGGGTTTATTTGTCTCCTATTGGTCATTTACATCGTTTCAGGGAAGTCAAGATGGCAGGAAATTAAAGTTACCGTCACATCCAGTCAAGAGCAAAGAGCAGTGACTTAATGGATGTATGTTAGTGCTCAGCTCCCTTTCTCTACTCTTAAACACTTCAAAAGCCGGCATAGAGAATGGTGCCACCCACAGTGAGTAGGTTTCCCCTCCTCAATTAACATTAGCAAGATAATCCCCCACTGAAATTCCTTTTCCTGTGATTCTAGATTGTGTCACTTTGAAAAAACTAACATCAAAGTTCCCAAGCCCTGCTGTGGGATAATGCTCTTGTACACTGTAAACATTTGTCACTTGCATTGATTTAATAAAACGCTAATTGGCCAGTAGCCAGGCAGGAAGGATAGTTGGGGCAACCAGACTAAGAGAATTCTGGGAAGAGGAAAGGCAGAGATGCAGTCTCCAACCAGACGCAAAGGAAGCAAGATGAAAATGCCTTATTGAGAAAAGGAACCAAGCCATCTGGCTAAACATGGATAAGAATTATGGGTTAATTTAAGTTGTAAGAGCTAATTACAACTAAGAAGCCAAACAGTGTATAATTAATATAAACCTCTGTGTGTTTCTTTGGACTTAATGGCTGTGGGACCAGGAGGGATAGAAACTTCTGTCTACAAAGCCCGCTCTTAGGGGATGCATAATGTCAGGTGACTTACAGATTAATGGTAAGGTGCTTCAGCCTCCAAGACCATCTCCAGCAATCCTCAGTGGTGTGGATCCTTTGTCCCAACAGTTGTCTGTGTGACTAACAGAATGTAGCAGAAATGATGATCTATGACTTCTGAGGTAAGAGCATAAAAACTCACAGTTATTGTCTTTTGGATCACTCCCTTGAGGAGAAGCAAACAGTTCAGAACTTCAGGATTCCAGGTATGTTTCTGTGATAGATAAGTGTGCTATATACCTCCACAAAAAGTCTTGAAAAAAAAAAGCTATCTGCAGCCAGGTGATGGTGGCACACACTTTTAATCCTGGCACTTGGGAGGCAGAAGCAGGCAGATAGATCTCTGTGAGTTTGAGGCCATCCTAGTCTACAGAGCAAGTTCTAGTACAGCCAGGGATACACAAAGAAACCCTGTCTCAAAAAAGAAGAAAAGAAGAAGAAGAAGGAGGAGGAGGAGGAGGAAGAGGAGGAGGAGGAGGAGGGAACGGAAGAGAAGGGAAGAAGGAGGAGGAGGAGGGAGGGAGGGAGGAAGGATGGAAGAAGAAGAAAAAGGAAGAAAGAAACGAACAGAAAAAAGTCATCTACTAGCAATCAGATGAAATGTTGAGTTCAAATGATGAGTGTCTCTGAGTTTCACTTGTTATGAGACCTCAGAATGCCACTCAGCATTCTGGACCTAATTTCCTCATGAAGGGGCCAAAAATGGCTGGG